TTTCAAATGAACCTTTTTCCCAGAGACGTCCAATTAAGTGTCTCAGTTTTCCTCCTTGTCTCTCTCTCGCGACCATCTCGTAGGGCTGTGTAACTTTGTGTTGTTGGCATTTCACCCATAAAGAAAGTGAAGCTTTTCTGTGCAATCGCTCTCACTGTCTCTCTTGTATGCACATTTGAAAAGTAAAGCAATCTCGCCAACGGCTTGTATTTAATTAATAAATTTTGTGTGTGTCTCTGGCGAGCGTGAGCAACAATCATTCCCATCCCGTCGAGAGAATGGCCTAAGTCGAGGAGTTCTCCTCACGTTCACATTATTTATTGCATTTTGCATTCTGCGCCACCCCACCAATTCGCAGTCTGTCTCTCTCGGTGTGATTGTCTTTCGGAAAAAGAACTTGTTTTGTCTCCATATGCCCAGAGTGCAACATGGGAGAGGAGAGATAATGTACCACAACATAGCAGCAAACAAGATGGGAAATATGGTAATGTACTTGACAATGAAACGAAGGGGAGAATTTTGCAAAAGTTCACACCATTTGCTGTCGCAGAGCTCTTTTCTCTTTCATCCCGCATATCTTGTTGACATCAGAGGAATGTATTTCATAAAAAAAAGAGCATCAACGTCAAATTCCTTTTCGCCTGATCATTTTTCTTTCGTCCGGTGAATGGGAAAATTCAAAATACCCGGAAAATGATCTGCATAACGTCCATTAAATTGTGTTTATTGTTGAGTGTGTCTCTCTGACAAGGCACTTTGAGGCTATTTATGCAGGCCCATACAACAAGATAGTGTTGCCTGCAATGAAAGTTCCACAGAAATAAATTTGTTTCCAAATGTCTGAATAAGCCAACAAAAGGTAAAAGTTAAACGGTCTCAGAGGAATGTAAACTTGAAAAATTGGTAGATAAAAATTGTTCCGAGAGCGCGTGGCGGTGAAAGATTCGATCATGCTTCCAAACCAGCCATTCTACCGTCAATCAATTGCTGGGCTGGACCAATTTTTCCCATGTGGCGAGTGTAAATTAAAGAAACCGAGGCGAGGAAAGGCCAAACAGCATCCCTTACGATCGCCCAACCCACTTCTCCTTTCATTTTCAATGACTCTCTCAGCATATTTGGTACACATTAGAAAGTAACATGTTAATTCCTTTTACTTCTCTTAACAACGCTGAACGTCTCGTAAAAATTATATGATGGCTCTATTGAGAATTTTATCAAGCCCAATTGACCTTCATTTTCATCGCACACGACGTCTTTTCACAAAGAGAATAATTAGGATTTCTCAATTTCTTACGAAATACATTGCAAAGATCAGTTCCTCATCTCCCAATATTTGCGCGTCGCGTTAAGAGAGACTCGCCATTGCGAGATATGAGGCCGAAAAAACATGCCAAAGTCAACAAGATGAAATTAACGTTACCACCCACAATAGGATAACTGTTTTTTCACCTGGCTTTCTTGCTACAACAGATACTTTATATTATTTTTTTCGCAAAAGCAACAAGACAGTCACGTCTTGTGGACGCTGTCCGATATTCCCCTCCGCACAAAATTGTATATATTTCTCAATTGATCTCGTTGAGCATTGCAAAGAAAATCACCGGAAATTGTTACTGATCGACCTACATTCGCTCTGAGTCGCATTTCACCATGATATTTGCCCTTTTCTCACTTATAAATCACTGCATTTTGTATATCTGCGAGGCGCGAACAATCTCCCCTTCGCAAAATTATTATTTCAATATTGTTTCACTTTTAATAGGCATTAACCAATGCAAACAGCAAATTTCTAAACTCGTGAGAATAATTATAGTGCCATATCTAATTGTATAATGTATATTTTGAATGCTCTGTGAATTGAGAAATACTAAAGAGTACTAAAGAAACCCTTTAAGACGTCTTTTATTGCCAAGACAGTTCACTGAATGATTGATATATTGCTTAAGGAAAACACACACTTCAAAAAGCCCGCGCCCACTTAAGTTTCCCACCCCTTGGGAAAGGCATAATTCATTCTTTTCGCTTAAGCTTAGAGTCTGAGATGAAAATCTTATGTTTCTTAATCTTTAAATATTGATTTTCATGTTAAATTGTCATCTATAAGAAGCAGATTAAGCTGAAATCCGGGGTTTCCCGGTATTATTAAAGTTAGCACTTGAAGATAAGAAGCGTTTGAAGGAAAATTTCAGTTCCTTTCACAATCTTTGTAACGTGAAATTCTTGTTCTCACATGTGACGAGCTTTAACTGAAGTAACCGACAGACCTTTCTAATGAACACATTCCACTTTATTCGCCATTTTCCCATGAAAACGAACCTCATTCTCCTAACAACATCTATTTAGATGTTGTCTGTGCTCAGCTAATAACTCATATATCGCACTCGAATCAATAAACACATCCGCAACTGTTTGGACAGACTGTCTCTTAAGAGGATTGTCTGCAAACGATTTCGCTTGGTTATTTGAATTTTCAATTTGCAAAATTGCTGCCGCTAAATCACCTTTTATTTGAAGAAATTATACCACGATGTGGGACAGAGATTGCAAAACTGGACGGGAAACAACTGCCTTAATGCTCAAATCGTGTGTGAGCTTTAGTATCAAGAATGACAGCTGCAGTGAACTAATCTCTGTCGAGCACACATCAATAAATTAAAGACAATGCGATAAGATAAGTGTAGAAATTCCTCTAAAATTCATCAACACTGGCATGAATCAGACGTCGTGTAATGATCATTTTGTACAATTGCAGGGAGATTCAGCGCCTTTGTGCAACGATCAACTTCATTCGAATTTTATATTCATAAACACCTAGACCTACTTCCATAAGCAAGCCTGCTTTATTTTGAAAAATGATCTCAACTTACATTTCAGCAACACAACAGCCAATATTGGGTGTTTTTTTCTGCTTGTTGGGGGGAAAATCCAAGAGTCAGCAATTCTCTCTGTGCGGCCCTAATCGAATTTCATCCAAAATCCAAAATGCTCCGTGAGGCACAGTTTTGGCGAAAAAAGCCTCACGAATTTTCACTGGTGGCGAAGGTGGACACAGAAAAACTTAATACACACGTAGGAAATTCCACAAAAGACACTTCAAGCAGCGCAAAGTGATTCTCTCTCTCTCTCGAGGCACAAGAGTTGACACTGCGGTGATCACACAGAAATTCCACATCAAGTACAACACATTCATCAACCATTTGCGAGCACGTTCGTTTCCCAACTGAAATTCATATGAGTTGGAGCAATGAAGCGGAGCCGGGCCTCTTCCAACTCCAGCCAGCCAGCCAACTTACATGCGAAGCCCACCCAGAGACGTCTCTTTCACTCTCACTTCTCTCCCAGGCCCGCGATCGGCTGGAAATTTTGCGAAATCCGCAGTATCTGTTACATACAGTTGTATTCAACGTGCGAATGATGAAGAAAGACGAAAAATATATTTGGTTTTATAATTACACCAACAGTCTCGCGATTATACATTCTCACATTGCTGAGACCAGTGACTTGTGAGAATATGACCATTGCAGAATAAACAAGAGAGTTTCTTCCTCTTGCTGTGTGAATTTTCATCTCTTTTTTTCGCCTCTTTTGTATACTCAACCAAAACTGGATATATTAAAATCACACCATCAATTGCAGACTATAGATTTTAACGCGGCCAGAGAGATATAAAAATTTTCCAACAAACAGAGTATAAAATCCAAATGGTATAATCATGTATCGATGAATTTTCCCTCCCCGCGAGAGATCATTCAATAAATCCATAAATTCCGCATTTGATTCAGTTTCCCTCGACTTGGCCACACCTTCTTCTCCTTTAGATGATAGTACACATATAACATTCCCAAGTTTCATTGGACAATTGACACTGAAAATTGTGCTCTTGGGTGCTTTGGAAAGTCACCTTTTTGCCTCATTTTGCAGTCAGAAAAGACAGCACTTTATTATATTTCTCACTCAAAACATCACACAAAGCGAGAAAACATCGAGGGGACACTCACCTTTAGAATATTCAGGCCAACTTGTCTTATTTTGGGTGAAGATCGAATCAAGGAATACATTATTTACACTTGAAGTCGCGCAACGCCACAAGAAATTTCTTCTTTATCCCCAAGGAATAAGAAGTCGATCGTTTTCTTTTCCACATCGTTTTGTTTGTTTGTCAATTGGCAGCAATTCCTTGCTCGCGGCCTTGTCGAGTCTCTAGAAAAAATCTATGTTTTGTTGTCTATGCATTGCAAGACTGGCGAACCCCTTGACTAATTGGCTGCGAATATTGAACCACAAACACACGAGCCAACACAATGCCTAATCAGATAACAAGATTAGAGACCATTTAGCTTCGATGGCTGCATTTGTCAACGAGAAGCTGAAAAAAGATCTTGCATAGAAAATTGATTCATCGACACTGTTTTCCATTCACTTTTCATCACAGCTCTTTTTTTCCCGCATCCACAAAACTCCAATTAATTATCCACAATTAGCGAAACATTTCATCGCGCTCTCTTCGTCGGAAGACGAAGAATGCCTCGTGGAAGAAAGAAAAGGGAGACCAAGAGATAATGATGAAATTGAATACTTACAGAAAGTTTCTACAGTTGACCTTTAGGCTCTTGTAATTTGCTCTTATCTTTCAGCAATTTTGCATCGTGCAGAAAAAAAAAGTTCACGGCAGAGCGCGAAAAAGTATTTTTTTTATTATTTTTCTCTCTCTTCTGGGAGGGAAAAATGGCGAAATTTCACCAAAAGTTCAATCAATTGAAACTTGAACTTCGTGACGTTGACACGACGAATATATTTCTTATTTATCAATTCCGCACGCACGCCTTCTCAAATGGGCCTCCGCGGGGCCCTTTCACTGTTAAGAAACTGCAACGTGTGCCAAGAAATTTTGCGCGGAACCAGTTTTGGCGTTCAATTTTCGATTTCTTCCACTTGTGACCCATATTTCCACTATACTTTTCATTATCGCGCATGCTCGAGCCGAAAGTTTGGTCGACATGACCACCATGGAGACGCTCTCTTGCGCCCATAACTTGTCACCTGGCCACTCCGCTGCGGCTACATCAAAAATGTCAGTCATCGGGTGAGTTTGTTGCCGGAAGAAAAAAGGCTCAATGGAGAGAAGAAACAGCCAAACAAGTTTGACAATATTGCAGATCAACCAAGTGGCTGGACGCGCAAGCTGAGCACCAGGCGGCTCTCAGGACAATCCCTTCGTGCCTGACGCTGTGCGACCTCAAGAATGACAACTACCATAAGCTAGTGGCGGCGGAAATACCCGCGAATCTCGTGTCAAAGTCACACCTGAAGGTGTACAAGGGAACCACGCTGATTAGCGAACAGGGACTTCCCGGAATTCCGGTCGCCGTCGAGAGTCTCTACACTGAGGAACATGAGCCCAAAGTGCCCAGTGAGTATCCTGTGGGAATTCATTTAATGTTCTTTCATAGGAAATTAAGAATACGAATTCCTAAGACATTTATCACTCACTGAAATTAAAATGATGGTCAATTTTAAAGAGTAATAACACTGATATCACCTTCTCATAGAGCAATTGTGCTTCTTTTATTGTGATTCAATCCTCTTTTTTCCTCATCAATCAATATGATTGGCTAAATTTCTCTGTTCGTCAATCAAATTATTGAATATTTCCCCTGTTCAAAGTCACAGTCAATGGGAAAACCTTTAACATAGCGCAATAACACACGGTATGCGCGATCAATTGATCGCTTCCGAGACGTCTCGATTGCATGTATATCTTTACCAATTTCCAAGTAATCGCCGTGGCTGTTGGACCATCTGTTCTCTTCTATCGCAACATGAAACCGTACTTCAAGTACACACTGCCGGGTCTCGAGGTGGAGAGTGTGGAGCACGATGTGTGGCGAAAATTACCAACTGAGCGCCCTGAGAATGTGCGATCGCTCATTGCGAGTCTGCGATCTGTGGAGCTGAGCCGATTGACGGTGACATCGCAGCGATTGATCGGAATGCCAGATGAGGAAGTTCAGGGATACATTAACGATCACAGAGATTCTCCGCTGCAGCGTCTGCCCACAATCACGGCGATGACCACTCTCAGGCGCACATCGAGTGACATTAAGGCAGTTTCTTGCCTGGTCATCGCCAGCGAGTCGGGGGAGATTTTCATTCTGGACTCTCAGGCATTCACGGTGCTCCATCGCGCCAGATGCTGCTCTTCGCACGGCACGCCGTGCATGATCTCGGTGAGTGGGCATTTCGACATAGACTTCCGCATTGTTGTGTCCACACGCGAGGGCGGCGTGAGCATCTTGAGGAAGTCCTGGCTCGAGGGACGCCAGATCATCAGACTCGATCACCCGACAACAGGCCTGGCGATTCTGCCCATCGATCAGACCATCGTCGTGGTGTGCATGAACAACTCCCTGATGTGCTACTCGAAGAAGGGCAAGCGCCTCTGGTCCGTCACCCTTCCCGCCCACTCCATCTGCATGGTGCCCGTCCTGCTGTCCCACCTCGGCATGACGCTCGTCTGCGTGGCCCTCTTCGGCGGCCTCGTCCAGCTGTACCTGGGCAAGCATCTCGTGGACCAGTTCACAGCGCCCGACACCGTGTCTGCCATGACATTCGGCCGGCTGGGACAGGAAGATCACGTGCTGGTGCTGGTGACAGTGGATGGGTCGCTGATCATTAAGATTCTCAAGCGCACCGCCGAGTTTTCTCCGCGCCTCATCGGAAATGAGGTGACGGGCAAATTATCCAATCAAAGTGCGGAGGACAGTGCCAATGCGGGCAATTTGCGCATACCGAAAAAAACGAAAGTCTTCGTGGAGCAGACAATTCGTGAGAGAGAAAATGCCTCAGGTGAGTGCGACCGTTAAATCACAAACTTCCTCATCCCATCATTTCACCCAAACTCACGATTAGAATATTTTTTTTTCTCTCCCTCCTTGCGATGAACAGAGAAGTCACAGTTATTGAGATTTGCATTCATTTGAAGGAAATCCAACTAAAAATCCCAATCAAGCATTGCAATGTGTGCTCTTTTCATCTTTCTCCCGTCTCTTCTCAGCCATCTATCAATCATTCCAATCCGAACTCTGGCGTCTCCGGCTCACTGCCGCTCGCGCCACCGTGGATGTGATCAATCTGGCGGAGAGCACATTGTCCGGCGACGGTGCTTTCGCCCCAATCAAAATGTCAGCAGAAGTCTTAGGTCTCGGTCCTGTCTTTCGACTGAAGCTCCGCCTGGAGAACATGGCCAGCCGCCGTCGCGAAGCCAGCAATCTCTGCGTCCTCCTTCATGCGGAAAATCGCCACTACACACTCGATAGACCATTCGCGCGTCTGCCACCACTTGCACCTGGAGTTCCACTCACGATCGACTTCAAAGTCACCGTCATCATCGATCCCACAGATGGTCTCCCGCCACCCGATCTCACGCCCGATAACTCCGTGATTAGAGTGATGATCTTCAAGTGTGGCCAGGTAGAGTCGCCATGCAATTTCTTTCACCTCATTACTTTTTTCCCGTTCTTAACCGCACAAACTACAACACTTTGATGATCAATCATTGAGCGCACAGTCGAAAAAGGTAGAGATTTCAATAAAAGGCCCGTCGACAGCTTTACAAATGATTTGTAAGCATTTCATTGGTGAAGCCCAATGAAAGTAACAGCCAAAGATGTCTCGGAGATAATGGAATATAAGATTACAACTAATTTGTTAAGAGAAAAGGGTTAATTAATGGAGATTAATGAAATCCTGCCATATTTGGACTGCTCTGGTGATGTTGGCCGATAAGGAGAGAGCGAAGATAGATGATGATTGGCTAAAGAGAAAGATTTTCTTGTTCATGACATAACAAGAAAATCTATTTCATCGACGCAATTGAACTCAAAATGTCGCAAAAATTACCCAAAATTCCCACAGCTTATTTGCAAGTTTAAAAGTCACCAATTTTGCAGTTTTAATCAACGGTTATCACGTACACATATTCATTGGGTGAAATGCAGACAGAAACACTTACAATTCTTCCTCTACTTTCAGGCAAAACCACTGATAGCGGCCACAATCTCCATGCCCAGTCCAGAATTGCAGGCATTTGAAGTGTATTAAGCCACTTTTAAATAGTGCAAAAAGGTCACTGTGCCCACGACAAAGTGTTTGATTATGAATAAAAATTTAAATTGTATCTCAACCTCTTCATTACCGTCCCCGAAGCACATTCATAAATAATGTATGATTTGGAACCATCGAATTGTCGAAAGTTTTTTAGCATTTTGCACCTCAGTGAAATTCTACACCTCGAACAACTTACACGTTGTCTCCGCAGAAGCCTTTCAAGAATGGATATTGAACTAGTGGAAGTTGATTTGCGCCTCTTAATTCGCTGTCTCTCTCTCAACAATTGCCTTCCAATTCCAGGAGCAACTCTTCTCCGAGACCGTGGAGAAATTCCGCCAAGGAGGATACGAATTGACAACGCGAAGTGATGAGGGTGCCTTCAAGCTCTTCGCATTGTACAAGCAAGCCGTCGAGGGAGACTGTAAGATGCCAATTCCCAATCGGTACGATCGTTTGAATGCAAAGAAGTTCATGGCATGGAATGACTTGAAGGGAATGAATCAGGAGAAGGCAAAGGAATTGTACGTGAAGGAAATGAAGCAAGTAATTCAATAGGAAAAAACACCGCGACAATTCTAAAAAATCACGGCCTGCAGTGAATTTAATGTTTTCTTAATTGGCAACTAATACAAAAAAAAACGTGTCCTCGACAGTTATTTCTTATTCATTGCATCCACAATATATAAATTGTTCAGACTAACAATTTCCCTGCTCAGTTTGTTTTCGTGCATTGATTCTGTTATAGTGAAAACACTAAAGAAAGGATAAAAATGTCTCTGGACGAGGTATGAATTAAAGGCATATCAAAACACTTCTTCTTTCTTTTGAGTTCATGTCGTTAGTGTGCTTCTAATCATTTTCTCTTGCTGCACCAAACTACACTGTCCTCTAAAGAGATTTCACGCGGCAGCCACAAAAGCCCGCGAAATTAGTCAGAAAGTTACCAAGGAAGAATGGATGGACATCTACGCTTTCTACATGCAATCTGTTGAGGGAGACAATTACAGAGGTGAGTAGAGTCAGGAAATTGAGCTGAAAGGAACCACAAGTGCATATTTAAACATGGTAATTTTTACCTTCACAAATGCCAATGAATTTCACTTGTGTCTGAAATGTGATGATAAACAGCTAAAGTGTGGATTATATTAATGTGTCTTTAAAGCCCTTTCTCCCCCCTAAACTAATGCTAATGAGTGAATTCGGTGAATTCTATGATGTTGAGTCATTCAATTGAAACCACTTCCAATATTCAATTCAACAGGAAGACCGAGTATGGCGGACATGAGAGGCAAAGCTCTGTGGCAATCGTGGTACAATCTCATCGGAATGGACCAGAATGAAGCCAAGGAGAAGTACATAGCGCTTGTTGAGCAGTTGGCGAAAGCACACATTTGAAATTCAAACTCAGCGACAGTGTTCGAAAAGAGCGCCACTCAACGATCCACACCATTGAAATATCAATTAGAATCAAGGTTAGAACGTCACCGTGAACGTGCACAGAGCATTTTGGGGGAGAAAGCGGACAAAAGAGTAGAAGAAATACAGGAATTTACATAAGAAAAAGAGTGTCATTTAATTGGATTTGCTAATTTTAAACCTCGCGGCCGCAAGCACTCAGCACGGCTTTGGCCATTGCGCTGGGGAAATGGCAAAATACACACACACACAGAGAGTCTTGAGATATCTTTTAGTACAAGCCGCCTTCGTGTGCAGCCCGCAGTCTACACCCGTGACAATCGTCTCTTGTTGCCGTGTGTTTTCGCAGGGCTCGCGATATTCGTGAAATTCCGGCGGAAAAGGTCACTTGCGGCGCCACGAGTGTGCACAGGATGTGAGCCAGGGATGCTGTGCACCTGATTTGCTAGTGTTTCCGGGTGAATTGTGTGGAAAAGTTGATGAAAAGTGAGTAGAATAGGATTTTGTCTAATTTTACCTGATCCCACCTGTCATCCACCATAAATCCATCTCACTCATGATCACACACTCGCACGCAGCGCCACATCCATTCGTCCCTCTCGCACGTACACACACCACCAGAGGTCACTACACTTTACTGTTATTTTCTTCGTGATCTTTGCGCAAAGTGCAAGAATTCGATTGGAAATTAATAGAAAAGTGGTCTATACACGATCAAATCACCTCGCGCTGGAGCTCTTTTGCCACTCCAGTCTTGATTTTGCCTGCGCTCTCGTCATTCGGCGCGCATAGCCGTGAGTTGAGGTGCAAGATCAGAAAGAAGAGAGCCCCGTGCACGAGGCGCGATCGTGAGTGGGGAAAAAGAAGTGATCTCGCGAGGAGAAAAACTCCTTTGAAATTCTCCTCTATTTGCGCTCATCGATCTCTCATCAACCTCCGCGCATTTACTTGCGAGCGCTCGCAACACACGGAGTTGGAGAAAGGCACAAGAAGTACAGTTAGATATGCAGACAGAACTTGAATTTAGTTGGTAACGCCTTTGTACTGGCTCAGCAGATGGTGTGATCGCCGTAGTACTCGCGATCTTCGCGGTGGAGGTGTTGTGTTTTTTCCCCTCATCGCAAGCGTTGAAAATTGTGTGCCAAACAGCGCGAGATCGGGGGCTTTTTTTTCGTGTGTGTCCAGCAAAATTGATCCTCCGCGAAAGATCACTTGATCGTGCGCGCTCGCGCTATCTTCCTTCTCCCAAAGCACTTTCCAGAAACTGGAGATATTAAATAACCTGCTCAGAGAGTTGCTTATTATTTACTCAATCATATCTTTTTCCCCACTGTTTGTACCTCGTCAGAGTCTTCCAACGATTCTTCTCTCTTTTTTTTCGGTGCTCTGATGTTGATCATAAAATAATCACAAGCGCACTCAGTGTCTAACATTTTTTTTTACACATTCGTCGTCTCTTCACCTCCTCCTCCTCCTCAGGAACTGCCACCAGGGGAAAAGATATGAAGCGTGAATTCAGCTGAGTAAGCGAAAATGCATGAGCTCTTCGCTAAAGTTCTGACCAAGAGGGATCTCTCGAGAGCCGGCGATCTCTTCTCCGTGGCCGATGTTGACATTGTCAACGATCTCACAGACGTGGTAAGAAATTAACAGTTGTCTTATGCAAATGTATTGATTCATCATCAAGGAAATATTCTAGTAGTTAGAAAAAAAAACTCGTTATGAAGCAGATCATGGCTTTAGGGTCATCTTCAGTAAATGAAATAAGTGAAAATGCTGCTTTGCTCTGATTGCTTCATTTCGGGTGAAAAATTTAGAGGCAAACAAGACATGAATATAATCACAAAAACCTGACACTCTTTTTCCATAAGAAATTATACAGAAAATCCAGCAAACAGAGTGATATGAAAGGCAATGAAAGCCTCAGAAACTCTGTCATGGAAAATGCATGCAATAGTAGTTAATGCAAGAGTAATAAAATAGTGAAAACCGTCTATTTTGTGTGCTTCCCAGAATTCAGTCAAAACATATATTCACATTCCATTTCTTCCCTCCTTCTTGCAGCTCACCCAGATCGAGTTGATCATCTCGCAGGCGGATTACTTGCAGAACAAAAATGATCAATCGGTGATGGAAATTTGCGTGACAAGAGTGACATCGTGCATACGTGAGACAAAGACTGTGGAGAGACACTGTCCAGCTCTGGTGAGTCTGCTGGACTCGTGCCTCAAGCAGAATCTGCAACCACAATCCGGCGAAGATCCGCCACACGCCAAGATATCCGCAGACTTGATATCCAGCATTTTTCTCGTGAGTTTACCGTGTTCTTCCTGTGATTCATTATCTAACTCTCTAATTCCTTGCAATGTTGGCAGAACTACAACAAGAAGACGGTGATGGAGATGGCACTGCCAGTGGCTGTGAAGTTCCTTCAGAAGGGCAACAAAGAGCTGGCCAAAAATCTCGCCAGCTATCTCTCACTGGCCGCCATAGAGTACGCATATCTGCTGAGTCCTCACGTCCAGTCAATTCTCGATTCAATTCTCGCCGGGAATTACGGACTGTGTCAGATTCTGCCGCAGATTTACGATGTCGCTCCACATTCCTTAGATCAGCACACTTCAGTGCTCATCTCCTTGCTCAACCGATGCGACACACAAGAAAAATTGGCACTTCTTCAACTATTCGCATTGATTGCCAAAAATAATCCATCCGCCCTGGAAGACAACATTCCACACTTGTGCGAATCTCTGCAAGAGACTGCCACCGTGTCGGCCACGCTGAATGTGCTGCTGAAGCTGGCCGAGGAGACGCCATCGCGCATTCATGATCACTTTGATAAGATCAAAATAGCGGCCGAGAAGAATGCCCAAACGGTGGCGTTGGCATCTCAAGTGCTTGCAACATCCGGCAAGATCAATCGGGTGAGTCCTTGGCAAAATTACCCCCCATCAGGACACTCCTAATCAACCTCAATTTGTCTGCAGATGCGCGCCCAGTTCGCCCTGGATTTCGTCCTGCAGCACCTGCCGCACGCCGATCGTACATCACAGACAATCCTCCTGCGGGAAGCCACGATGCTCTGCTCCACATATCCCATCCTCTTCACGGACAAGGTGCTCGCGTGCGTCCGCCAGAAGAACAACACATCGCAACAATCGTCAATCTCAACATCACCCAGCACATCATCCGTCTCGCCCATTTCCGGCAATCAAGTGTCCGGCGGTGTGACCATTGTCAAGCTCAACATGGCGCCCATTCAGACGCCGATCTCCAGCACCGGCAACTCCGTCACCACCACCGTGATCAACTCGACAGCCAACGGCACGGCAACAGTGCACGTTCCGCCGCAGCCTGAGAAGGCCTCGCATGTCGTGACGATTCCCACATCAACATCAGCCACATCACAGACCACCAGCGCGACGACCAACGGCACCAACGTCGTCTCTCCGCCACACACAGGTAACCCATCAGCTCCGTCTTCCCTCTGCGCAGTCAAACTCACAGTTTTTCCCATTATCTTTCAGGCTACACGCGTCGCGCCAAGCTCGGAGACTCTCGCAGCACAGGACGCCTCCACTCCACCGGCAACACGCACCGCAGCATGACACGCCTCAACATCGCCGGCGGATCCGTGGGCGGACTGCACAAGAGCATGACTCGCCTCAGTTCGTCGCAGCAAATCAATCAGCAGCAGAACAACACTTCCAATCCCAACAATAGTCACTCCAGCGGCAGTGTTTCCCAGGTCAACGGCGTCAGCGCCACCGGGCCCAACTACGTCACGCCCGTGCCGCCGCTCAGCAGCAATGTCATCATCACGGGCCACAACAAGTGGGGCATTCCCTCCACCAAGATCACCTCCGGCGGCGTCACGGTGACCACGAGTCCGCCGCGCGGAGTGCGACCTCATTCGCAGGGCCTCAGCACACTGCTGGGCTCCAGCGGCGGACTGGGATCCATCACGAGCCAGAGCAACAGCGTCTCCGTGCAGCACGCTTCGCCCGCGCCATCGTCCGCCGGAGCCAGTTCATTCCAGCAGTCCGTCATGACGCTGCCCATCAACACCCTCTCGTCCAACATGGGCGGCGGCAATCAGGTGTCGGTGTCCGGACCGGTGACGGTCACGTCGCGCAGGAACGACAACACCAGCATCACACTCCTGAACGCCAATCATCACTCGACAAACCAGGTGAACACAATTAAACGCCAGTGTCAAGACACTGCTTAACTTCCTTCCTTCTCCTTTCAGAGAATGAGTGTCTTCGAACCTTGTCCTGAGCGAGACACAATTCAGCACTTCTCCGAGAAGCACTTTGATAAGATCAAAGTGTATGTGACAGGTGTGGAGCAGCGTTTGCCTCCGGCAGCGAAATGCACAATTGAAGGTGAGCAGCACTAGAAAATGCCCCCAAGAACATCTCCTTATGATCTAAAATTCTCCACAGAGCGTCGCTCGAAGAAGTTCGCAAAGCTGCACTTCGCCTGTCAAGCACGAGGTCCACATTGTCTCTACTCCAAGACATTCTTCACGATGCGCACTCGCAATCCCAAGACGTGGATTCACTTGATGTTCCTGGATCAGCAATCACGCGCCCAGACGGCGCTCAGCAGTCGAGATCCTGCCGTGAGCAGTCTCAGGCACTGCTGGGACATTCTCAAGTGTGAGAACAAGTCCTTCGTCACTCTGGCCACCAGCGCCTTTCCCTCCACCAAGGACACGGACGCTCTGGTGAACGAGCTGAGGAACTCGGGCTTCTTCGATGTGTTCGAACTGGGACCAGTCAATGGGAATTCCACGAATGGTGGCACGAGTTCGGATGATCTGCAGCTGCAGTGGGGCTGCTTCCTCTGCAACCATCCGGAGAAAGCCATGGGATTCCTGCACGGCAACACACAGCCGGTGATTGAGGGACAGCTGAAGGAGAAGAAGGGCAAGTGGCGTCTCTTCAGACGCTGGCGAACGCGATACTTTACACTTTCCGGAGCGCATTTATCCTGCAAGGGTTCTGTGAGTTTGTCCTTCCAGAGCAATAACAGAAGAATTGTGGATTTAATTTGATGAGGGTGTTTTTTTTTCTCTGTCTTTCAGAGTGGCGGCGAGAGCATTGATATCAATCAAATACGTTCCTTAAAGGTATCACGAGGTGCTAGAAATATTCCCAAAGCATTTGAGATCTTCACAGGAGATCAAACACTTATTCTGAAGCCGAAGGACGGCAAGAATGCCGAAGAATGGGTGCAATGCCTCAGCATTGTCGTGGCCACGTCTCAGGCCAGGGATCAGCCCACGAATAAGACCAACAGTCTGCCAGCGAGGAGCATAGGAAATAGCCGGACGGCCTTCTAATCATATTGGACTTAATCAATGCGCTATTCTCTTATCACGTGCTTCCAATATTACTCTACGTATTGTTAACATGTAATTCATGTAATATTTTTATTAATATATATTTTTAAAATTTTTTTTTGAGAAAATTTGCATCTTTTCCTTCTTCTCTTCCGGGTGAGACACAAACACAGCATCAACGTAAGTTTGCGCTTCTCTGCCAAAGTAAAGTGACTTCAATTCCCTCAATTGAATTGCAAGACTCAATTGCTGTTGACCTGTTGCTGGTGAGATGCTTGGGGATGAGGAAGCGACGAGGTCAACTGAAGGGTTAACACTTCGAAGCGGAGGAATTGCTCGCTTCAGCCGCCAAATACATGATTTGGCAATATTTCCCTCAAACAAATAATAACAGTGCGGCGATGAAGGTGAGCAAAAAGTCACTTACATTTCGGCTGTTGTTGGAATATTTCTGGCTGAATCCGCGGATGGTAATTGCAGGCACATGATATCCAATGGAGGTCAAACGGCACGCATGTTTTTGCCACTTTTTACCTACTTTGGCACTTGTATTTCACTGCTAACGACACTTTATAAAGTCACAGACACTGTGCTTGTGATCTTCTAGCGCATCTTGTGAGATATTAATGGATTCTTCCCGGGTTTTCACGATAAATTGCAAGAACGCGATTTCACAGCTCGTCTGTCACTTGTCACTGCGTGTTTTCCAGTACAAATTGGCGCTTTCCGTTAGAGCGAGACAACTCTATTCAGCTGTTCTCAAGAAATGTCAAATTCCTCAAAACAAACATTCTGTCGCGGTGCAGTGGAGGAAAAAGAGTGAAAATTCGGCTGGAAAATGCGGAAGTACCAGCAATTGGCGCTGGTGATCATCTCCCTGATCAGCATCATGGTGCTTATCATGTACAGGAATGAGAACAGCAAGCTGCGCTACATTCTGGAGGTGGTGAACTTCTTCGGGCGCACGGATGCCGCTGCCCTGGTCAGGATCGAGAATAGCACGACCTTCTCCCACATCGCCGCGGACTTCGCCACGCCGCTGCCCATGTGGACTCGCCTGGGCAGTGAATTCCACGCCTACTCGTCCTTCTGGACGAAGAACAGCTTCAGCGCCGGCGGCGAAGTTGTCACACTCGTCGTGGGCTTGCGACACGCAATCGTCAACTTCCGCTGTCAATTGCAGTTCCCCGGACATGCCAGTCTCATGTCTGGGAAGTTTGAGTTCGCCCGCGAGGAGTACAACGAGGTGGCGTCCGGCAGTGCTGAGGAATTCCTCATGTATCGCTTCCTCTGCAAGGTTTCCCGGGACTTTGGGACGCCTGAGACTGTCGTCTTCGTGAACACGACGTCTCAGGCTGAACACGTGCTGCCCATCCGAAGTGGGCGCAACAACACACTCACGCCCAGAACATCTCTCGTGGCCTGCGTCGACATGGTGTCTTCCACGCTGCCCAAATCGTCCGGGAAGTCGCTCCACATTCCCGAGCGCGACATTCTGCAGTACTTCATCCACCACCAGATTGTGGGCATCGACGAATTCATCGTCTACGACCACTATCACATCACAGGCCACATCCGGGAGCTCCTGTACAGACACGGCATCAAGATCTCCATTCTGCCGTACAACTTTCCCTTCACCGTGACGGCGGACGTTCAGAACAGAGTCTTCCTCGAGACGGATTGCCTCCTGCGCACGAGCCACGACGCTAACTTTGTCCTCCTGGCGAGGATCAACGAGTACTTCTACCCCACGGCGAGCCTTAAGCGCTCAAAAACCCTCTTCAAGGCCTTATCGTCGCATTCGGCGGACATCCAGCGCTTCGCGGTGACCACAAAGACTGTCTGCACGGAAGACAGCGTCCGGATATTGGCTGAGAACCACCAATATGATCCCAACGCGAAGATTCTCCACCCATTCATTGTGTACCGAATGGAAGCAGGTCAGCATTCTGTGTTTAATCAATATTCTTCGTATCCACAATTCATTTTGATGATGACTTTCAGGTGTTGTGGAGAACGTGAAGCTGTTGGATTTGGATCCACACGTGGCCATCGTTCATCGGTACTCGCGGTGCTCCAACAAGTCCTCCTCCAGCAGCCTCATTGACTGGCGAACGACACTCAAGACCGATCACTACAGCTACGTGATGAAGATCACGGAGGAACTGCGGAAGGTACTGTGAATTACGTTAATTCTCTAGCGCGCAACTTTAGACTCATAAGCAGCGAATCTAGTATTTAACTTAGACGATATATAGCGAGTGTGATTATCCTTTAAGTTGTTCCTCTTTTTTTTGTATTTATATCTCTCACTGAATTACAATATGCGATCGCGCAAAATCAAAAATCCAAAAGCCCCCGAGAATTCACTTGAGACGCTGCAGAATGGCCGCGCTCAGGAGTCCGGCGCCTTCGATGGTGGCGCCGGAGTCGCTCAACTCCTTGCTGGGGAATGTCGTGAGCAGCGAGAACTCCTGGTGCGCGTACTGCGGCCGGGCGGCGATGATGTAGCGCCTGATGTCGCCGACGGTGTTGCTGTGATTGAACCTCGTGGCCAGACGCGTGCCGTCAGCGAGGCGCACCTGGATCATCGTCGTCGGCTGACTGGCGTCCACGTTCAAGTCCTCAGTCGCACTGCAAAGAGAATCCCAGGGTTAGGAGCAGAACGTGTCAGCATCCCTTTGAGCAACTCTCACCGTCTCTCGTTCTCCTCCTGCGACGCCTCGTTGCTGGGGCCGCTCGTGGAGCTGGCGGAGTCCATCGACGTCTCGGCCATGTTGGGCGCCGGACTGCCCAGCGTGTGTCCCTGACCGCTGAACACGGTCACGCGCTTCTTCGGCTTCTTGAACTCCTCGTGGCGGTGATCCTCGAGATTCACGTGCACCGTCGTGCCGCCCAGCTTCTTCAGCTCGTTGGGGATCTCGCCGCGCGTCATGCTGTTCATGAACTCCTTGTTGGCGGGATCCTCGTACAGTCGCAACTCGCCGTCGTTGATGGAGAAGCCCTCGCGCCAGAGCTTCAGCACCAGCGGCTCAATGTTCTGCGGGCGACTGGGTCGTCCCGTGGGCAGAGCTGTGTGATCGTCATTTGTCATGCCCAGGCGATAGCCCGTGCCGGAAAACATCTCCGGACCGCTCGACTGCGACGTCTGCGGATCCACGACTTCGGCGCCGCTCTCCTGGGCCGACCGGAACACCTCTGAGACGTAGTCCTTGATGGGATTGCGCTTCGGGGGCCCCAGAACCTGCTGTCCCGAGCGATCTGATCCGCCAGCGTAGAACGCCTGGCCCTGCTCGTCGTCCTCGTCCGAAGAGGACATCGACCTCAGCGTCATTATGCTGGAAAAAAGCAGAGAAAAACCCTATCAAAATCCACCCCAGGAACATAACTGAGCGCCAGCAACTCACTTTGATGAGGGCTTCTTCTTGGGCTTCTTGTCTTTCTTCAGATTCGAGTCCGGCTGTTGACTTGACGCTCCTCCAGCCGCTTCATTCTCATCATCACTGTCCTGTATCACCTGGACAGCATCGCCAGCCTCACCCGCATTGTCGTGATCACCCTCGTAGTAGCTGGTGAGGGCGATCTGGTGGGGAAAACAAAGGAATTCCGTGAAAATGCACACAAAATTGCACAATCAGCCTGATTTAACCTCAATCCCAGGATAATTACCTGTAGCGTCCAATTGGCGGCCTCCAGATGGAAGCGAGCCTGCTCCTCCGACACCCCAGTCACATCCTTGAAGTGGGATATCAGTTCCTCCTGGTCGGACATGGTATCTCACAGAGAAAATGCGAAAATGCCAGGAGATTTACCACAAATTCACTTCCTCACGTACACACTGAACTTGGCAGCGAATCGAACAATCAATTTGACAGCTGTCAGCAAAACTGTTCTCAATTTCGTACCGCGGAAGATTTGCTAAACTGTTCAATTGAGAGTAAATACAATTTCTACAGAAATATTTCATTTATTTTGCAATATCTTCTTACGAAATTACAAAGTACTCTTTTACACAAAATACCACATTAGCCTACATAAAGCGCAAAGAAACAAGAACAATAATCCATCAATGTATAAAAGATTACACAACATTTGCACCTGCATCAACAGGGTGACCCATTCAGGGCGTCTTTCAACTTCTTATTATCGTATTTTTGCTCAATAACAATCACTGGCTGTAAATTTTTTACAATCAAATCGCAATAAGGCACAAAACCCCTCCTAAATTCGTCCTTTTTTCGTGCTTCTTGTGAACGAGAAGCGTATTTATTTTATTGCGCGATTTATCAGTGGAAAATGAATTTTTCTCTCAGAAATATTCACCCTTGTGAATCTTTTGTTGTTGCATAATTATTGTAGTAAAAACATCACATTTATTGGTGTAGATACGTAAAGAAAGATAAATCCAGTTGTCTTTTATTGCTCACCATCCTGAAATAAGAGAAAAAGAATTAATTGTTTACGGAACAAAAACGTGTCTGAAATCATCTCAAAGTCACGCAAAAAACGGCAAAAAAACAAATAAGATCAAGAGAAAAACCAAAATTGTGGTTCAAACTAACATAAATATTCGCTATTTCATATAAAAATGTAGTTTTTGCTAATATTTCTCACTATTTTCACAGTAAAAGCAGCAATTTCCCCCCAAAAAGGCACTCTCTTAATTTAAGAGACTGTGTGAAAAATGAAGAAATCGATCAATTATCATGAAATCCTGCCAATAATTTGACCTTTTCCAAGCACAACCCACTGCTGATGAGAGTGATAAGACGCTGAGGAACATGTACACGTAATTGTGATTACTAAAAAAACCTTTTATTCCATAAATATAATGAAAAAGATTGATGAAAAACCTTTGAAGCTTTGCATGCGTAAAAACACCATCGCCCAAATTATACTCTGTGTCCAATTGACCATAGCAAAAACCACCCTATTCCGTACATACTTAAACAATCTTGGCTTTTTTTTGTTACACAAACATTGTAAAGACACGGATTAAGGAGAGATACATTTTAGTTGTGCGGTCTCTGCAAGGAACAATGTTAAAAACCATCTTGAATTCGCTCCACAGCTTTTCCTCTCTCCACCTTTCAAAGTTAATTTACCTTCGTCAGGGCATTGGTTATCAGGACAACGGCCACTCCCAGTCCGAAAGCGAACAAGTGTGACAAGTACTTTGTGGACAATCCTCGTCGTTTGCGCATCAGTGAAGCCAGGAAATTCATCTTGCTCTCCGAATATGGCGGATATCTTCCACTGAAAGCAATCAAGACAGCAATTAATTCAAAAAGTCATTTTGTGTGGATAAAAAGCAATTCTTACGACGCCAATTTCTCGCCAATCGGATTGAAGTTCTTCACCAGACACGATTTCTGATGTGAGAATGTATCGAAGGAGTATTTTCCATGATAAAAGCCCATTCCGCTCAGCCCAATTCCTCCAAACGGCAAACTTTCAACTGCACAGGAAAGACGACAATTATGTTAAGAATCATCAGAAGAAGGAAATCAAGACTAAAAGAGCTACAAAAGCATGCAAATTTCATCACTAAGAAATGTTCAAATTCATGTTTTTCACAGCCTTGAACAAGGTCAAAAATACAAAACTATTCAACTTCCATAAATCATTCAAATTCATTCAAAAACTAATCCCAAAAAAAAACCAGCAAGCAACATTCACAAAAGCAAAACAAGAAATTTTGAAACAAGAATTGATTGGTAAAAAAAATATCTCTTCAGCCTTTTTATCAATTTGTGTATTTATACCTGCATAGTGAGTGACAGTGTCGTTGGCACAAAAGCCACCGCTTGAGGTGCACTTGGCAAACAGTGCTTGCACACTGCTTTTGCACGTGAAGACGTACAGAACCAGAGGTTTCGCCCTAATTGAATATGGCAAATCAACATTCACAACTTCAGTCCAATTCCGCGTGTGATTTTACGAATGATTTTGAGGATTTTGATGGTGATTGACAAGCGCGACGCTTTGATTTTTGCCTGCACTCAACTGATGCCAATATTTACACTTTTTTTTGTACATTTAACACCAATATTTCTTCAGTGAACTCGTGAAAATATCTTCATTTTTTTGATGAAAGAATTTTATGTTGTCTTCCTGATTGTTTTTAGTCAACTTTTGAGATATTATCAACAAGTTGCTAATATCGCTCTTCACTGACACGTGCAGCTGAGATATTAGCAACTCCACTTATGCATGAAGAAGTTACATAAAGACAACATAGCGAAGCAATTGAAGACAAATTATTATATCGACGGATGCCTCGATAATTAGCAAAACTCTTAATCATCATTCTTCAGTTGAGCAATTTGAAATTGCTTCGAAATTAGACTAATTTATCACTTAAACTCAATTTCAATGATTTTCTATAACTTTCAATTAATTTCATTGGTTAGTTATTGAAATATTAACGAAAATATGTAGAATTGATAGACAAAATCACGATATTTAGTACAAAAAGTTGGGTTTTGTTAGATTTTCTTCTAAAAAGTTCGTGAAAAAGTCACTTTTCACATTTTTCCTGCACTTTTTGACTATAATTTATAAGATTTACAACTGCAATGATGAGATTTCTTCTGCAAAGATTGATTATGTGACTTCATTCGACTGATTTTTCATGTAATTTCATTGATTTTATTCAGAAATTAGAATTATTATCCGTACAAAAATACGTTCAACTTAAAATGTTCATTTTTGTAAAGGTTTTAAAGCGAATTTAAGGATGCAAAACAACTAAAAAAGCTCAAGAAAAATATTCATTTGTATGAATTTCTGAGCTAATTGCAAAAAACGATATTAAATATCCAGTAGATTTAATATTTCTCCTTCAATTTCATTATTAAATATCTTTCAACAGCGATCAGAATGAAAATTGTAGCGAAAACGGTCAAAAATCGGAGTTTTTATAAAGAAAACTCAGTATTTTTTTAAATACATAAAACGTCAACTATAAGACGTAATCGAGGAACCCGTCGATATTTACTTAATCTTTACGATCATGGCAATTAATTACAGCTATCAGTTGAATAATATTTTCACAAGTGCATTGGACTTATAAAGCACAATATTTGCAAGACATTCACCAGGCATACCAGACAAATTTGCAGACTGTGTTAGCCAATCACAAGAAAAAGTATAAATATAAAGTCATTGAAGAATTCCCACCTGCAATTTGCATTATTGTATCATTGACACAGACGCTACCACTTGAGGTATTTTTAGTAAATAGCTTGACGTCTCCTTTGTTTTCTGACAGGATGTACAACGCTAGAGGCTTATCCCTTAATCCAACCAAGCAAAATACACCAAAGAGATGCGGAGAAAAAGAGAGATAAAGTAAGGAATTATGTACATAACTTACGCCTACTTTTTCTTTTCTTTGCAACCTGTAAATGCGCTATAATTGTGTTATCATGGGAGAAGATAAGGAAGCACAAAATCAAACTACTGACAACCACCACCAATCAGATACCAGATCGAGAGGACAGATGAGAAGAAGATGCATTAGGTGTAAGAGCGATTACAGACCAGCCGATTATCCTCGAATCGGCGCGAACTCGGATCAATCTTCCGTGGATGAGCTTGGAGGGTGTAAAGATCAGATCAGCGATAATTCGTGGTTGATCTGCAGCTTTACACACTCAAAATATGGATCAACCATTCGTGGCTGAACTGGCGCTAAAGACACTCAGAGATTATTCTTCTTTGTCGCCACTAGCGACACTGTGTTTAGTGTGTTCAGCTGTCAGTTGATTTGCATACTTCAAAAGCGTGAAATTTTACGTTAAAATAGCGAAAATGGATGATTTTCAGAAGAATTTAATGATTTTAATAATCCAGGAAATCATTCGCAAGAGATTCGCCATTTTGTCTTTCCTGCGTCGTACAATGCTTCGGCGCATTTCCGGCCGAGCGCGCTGCCGTCGGGAACCCCTGAAAAATCGGCTGAACCTTCGATATATCGAGGGATTATTCGCGTTTTCTGGCTAAGCGAACTGTCAGTCGCTCTCGCTTATCCTCCCGTGGATCATCAGCAAGTCTGTAATCGCTTTAAGAGAATTTTGCAGAGAAAGAGTTTCGCCGTCACCCGAAACAATATGGAAGAATTTAACCCAGTTTTTACTTTCGTATTTCACACTGTTTTCCGTATAGAGAGTATAAGAAAATGCAGATCTTGCCAATAGAAACCCAGATAAATAGTATAATATTGCCAATATATCATGGAGGAATGTCTTCTTACTTGCATACTGCATTATCGTGTCGTTAATGCACATACTTCCGGATTGTGTACTCCGTGTGAACAAATCCTGAATTGCATTGTCCGTCGTGAAAATGTACATTACGAGTGCGAGCGGTCTTTTCATGTGGTTTTTAAGAGGGTTTTTGCGATCGCACATTAAATGGGTGTTTTTTTTTGGCCCACAATCCACAGGCACACGATAATGAGAATGTGATGCATTGATTTATGGATTGATGAAAGTGGTGTGGCATTTTTTTTTAACATCGACAAATCAAAATAACGCATAAAAGAGAAATAAAAATCACAAATTATTATGAGAATTTTGCAAACACACAAAAAAACAACTTTGTCCGTTCCAGAGAAATCTCTGGAACAAGACGAAAAATGAGGCAAAAAAACTATGTCTTTAACTCCTAAATGAGATGGAGAATTTCTCTTAAGAAACACACACAAGAAATAAAGATTGTGAGGAACCAAGGTTACCTGGCATTGATGAACTTGATAGCATCGTAAGCGTTCTCCACATTGACAATGGGCAGAATGGGTCCGAAGATCTCCTCCTGCATGATCGGATCTGTCGCTTGGACATCAATCAAGATTGTCGGCTCAATGAAGCGCTCATCGGCGTCTGTCTTTCCGCCCAGCGCCACATTTCCCGACTTCAGCAGCGCCACCAGGCGCTGATAGTTCCGCCCATTGACAATCCTGCACAAGTCCGGACTCTCCTTGGCATTCTTGCCATACCACTCCTGCAGCACCTTGCGCGCCTCCTCCAGGAACTTGCCCTGCACCTCCTTGTTGCACAGCAAGTAGTCAGGCGCGATGCACGTCTGGCCGGCATTGATCAACTTGCCCCACAGGATGCGCCGCGTGGCGTAGGCGATGTTGCAGGAGTTGTCCAGATAGCAGGGACTCTTGCCGCCCAACTCCAGCGTCACCGGCGTGAGATGCTTGTTGGCCGCCGCGTGCACAATCTGTCCCACACGCGTGGAGCCAGTGTAGAAGATGTAGTCGAACTTCTGCTTCAGCAGCTCCGTTGTCTCCGGCACGCCGCCCAGGATCACGGGATAGCACTCCGTGTCGAGATAGCGCGGCACTTTGTCAGCGATGAACTTGGCACAGTTGGGCGACACTTCACTGGGCTTGATCACCACACAATTGCCCGCCGAGATGGCCGCGGCCACGGGCAGCAGCGTCAGCTGCAGCGGATAGTTCCAGGCGCCCATCACCAGCACCACTCCGAATGGCTCCTTGTGAATGTACACGCCGTCCAGCATGTTCACGAACGTCTTCTCCGGCTGAAAAGGCGAGAACAGTTTGCAATTTTCAACGCTCATTTGCGCGAAAGTTGTTAATCTTTTCGCACCTTCACTGGCTTCGTCCAGTCCCTCAAGTTCATCAGCGTATTCTTGAGGTCATTCTTCAGGAACTCAATCTCCAGAATGTTCGACTCTTGCTTGTGTCGCCGCAAATCTGCCGCCAGCGCAGCTTCCATCTCCGTCTGATTCTCCTCATAGAGTCTCATCAGTTGCTTCAACTGCTTCTCCCTGTGTTTTTTTTTGTTCGTTGCCCACCATCAATTATTCAGTCATCGTGACGACAATCCAGAGAGAGAGAGAGAGAAAGAGAGCGTTAGCGATTCTCAGAGAAGTTTGCCAATGAGCTAAATGTACCTGAATTCCACATCCCGCGTCTTGCCGCTGGCAAAGGCAGCGTGAGCCTTCTGCATGACCTGCAAAGGAAGCGCGCGCGAGTGAAGAGGAAATGCGAATTGTGAGTGATGAAGAAGAAGAGGAAAAAAAGTGAATTGGCGGAGAAATTGCCAAGTTGATGTTCGGCAAGAGGCACATTTCACTTGCAGACATCATCGCCTGTGTGAGTGTTAAAAGTGAAATTTCTGCCATGCGACCGACTTTTCTCCGTGCATTGGAGACGATTGCATCGGATCGGAGGCGCTTACATAAAAGCCCCTCAACAATCCGTCCTGGAGAATCATCCGGAACGCACGGAAAGTCTCAAAACACCACTTTTGGCAATTCCACCGCATCGCGTGTGGGTGTTGGCTCAATTGCAACTTACATCGTCATATGTGGACATCTTCTTTTCGCTGGGAAACATGTCTGCAAGAGGAGAAAATGGGCAAATTAGCTGCGGAAGAAACTGGTTGGGAAAGTAACAACAGAGAGGGTCATTGCCTCGGACATTAAACATCTCTCTCTCCTTCGCATCTCACTATTTCCTGCAAATCACTGCTAATTCTCCCGGATTTCAACGCAATATCACTCCTCACACTCACCTCGACCCATCTCTCAATGTTCTGGCGTGAATTACTTGATGAAACTCGGCAATTTGTGCACAAAATAAGAGAGCGATTCTCACTCAACTTTCAATACAAAATAATACTAGCTTCAGAGATTGTCTACATGACAGCAGTGGCGCTGCGCAGTCACCGCGAAAAGCCCAGCAGAGGGCGTGTGGGTTTGAATGAGTGTTTCAAAGATTTCAAAATGCAGAAGAAAGTAACGAAATCTCTGCTAATTAAACAATTATCGCAGAGATTTAAGGGTCTATTTAATGTACAAGAGAGATTTACATCAAACTGAGGACGTGTAAAATTAGATTACACTGTTATTTACACTCTTCCGGTTCTTTGAATACGATTTCCAAATGTTTATGACAATAATTAAGACTTTAATTGATAGGAAGCTCTCTAAAAGTGTTTAGATAGAAGTATAAAGCAGTAAAACGATTGTAATTGATGGTAAGGCGTGATGTTTCACTCAGTTCAAAGTACATACACGAAACTTCTAACTAGAATGTCATCAGGTGATGACCGTGTTGACCTACATTTCGCGAAAAAAGCAGTGTGAAACTATTAATTTTAAATAAGTCTTCTGAAATAATGTGAACCAACAGCTGTTGAGAGTTTTGTGCCTCGCAGGGTTTTATTAAATATGCATCGTTCATCCGTTCGGTGTCTCACTTTAAATAATAAGTATGTGCACTCGAGGGAAGGCGTTATCACAAGCCCAAGAAATTCAATGGACACAAACATTGCCAGCATTATTCATTTATCAAGAGCGCGAATTGACCTTTTGGAACGCAGATACACAAGTTTATCACATCTCGAGTGTTATCAAGCCTAAGAAAAGCTGAATTTACCTTAGTTGCTTGGTGTATTTAAGTGATTTGAGCAATGCAATTCGCTCTGCAGCGAAACACCATAAAAATCCGTGTGATACTAACCCAGAACAACTTTATTCTCACTCTCAAACTGACTTGAATTGACTTGGCGGTGCAGATTCGAGTATTATTTTCATTACCAACCAGTTTGGTTTTCCATTTCAGCATCAGAATGCGTAATGATCGAGCAATATTACATAAGCATCGATATACAACAACTGCACTATAAATAAGCGATGATGAGAGTATTTTTAAAGACAAAATTTGCTGTAATTACTGAGAATCAAAGACGTGTTTCACAAGGTCGAGCTCATCCATGTTTAATCAAAGTAAAATGAGAAAACTTTCCATATTCCACTATTCACGTGTTTATGTACTGAAAATGATTCAATTGTCGTTCTTAGATTATGTCGTACTCTAATGGTTGATTCTTCAAGGATTCTTTCACTTTAAATCCTTCTTAAAATTGTTTCTCACTAAATAGTTGCTCGTGCTTTTAATTACTTCCCATGAATTGCAGAAAAACGTCAAGACTCTAACAACAATTAACGCTTTTACGCAGGAAATGCTATGAATTCAATTCGATCATCCAAATATTGTCGTTGCGGTTTTTTTTACGATGAAATTAACACACAAAGTCTGAGGAGAATTTTGAGTTCTTCAGATTGACGCTCGAGAGAGACAAAGACAGAGTGATCATTTAGAAATTACATACATTTTTACCCGAATACCGACTGGTTCACCTTCACGAAAATCTCACAAAATGCGCTTTATGCACGATTTTATTGCACTTCGTCGACACTGACGAAGTTCAAGGTGAAGGCAATGCCTGCAACACTATGTAATATGTGATAATCCGCGCGATCACAGCCTCTCAAGAGCTATGCTTATATGTTGGGAGAGATGTTGGGTGTTTTTGGTCACACAAACGCACCGTCGATGAGCACTCAATTACGACTTTTACTTTCAACTCCGCGGACGCAACTGCCTTCCTGTCCGCTTCCAATTGAAACAATCGCGGATCATATGGTGTACATGGCTTTATCGCACTGTCTAAAGTCTGTACATGGAATTACAAAGTATATTAAAGAGACTCTCCTTATCACAGAGATGCTCAGCTGTGTGCGAGCGAATGACTCGACAAAGAGAACTGGACACGAACGGGGGTCTCTGAATAGATTACTATTGTGCTCAAGGGGTATAATAACACTCCAATGTGCGACTGTAGTATGAATTACAGCGGCCAATTTACGTAAGATTTACATACACTTCCCCCCCCCCCTCCTTCTCTCCCTCCGCCCAGCGTTGTTTATTTACATTTCAATGTTGGAAAAATCTCACTTTTCCATGATAAAGGAAAGCCCAGGGAATTTATTTTGTATATTTATAGAAATTCATCGTTTGTTTGCACATACTTCTTGTTGTTGCACACGGTTTTTTTTTGCACGAAGTGATTGCGACAAAGAAGTGATACTTATCATTACTTCATGCCTTGGAGCTTTCTGAGAAAAATGTGTGTCTTTTTTAAACCCCTCAAAAGCATCCACGTATGAAATGAGCTGACGGAAAAACTATTCCAATTTGATTGGTCATGTGATAAGGAACGGGAAATGTCCTCGCGCATTTTGTCACTATATTTGGATGTCATAACAATATTTACCTCGATAACCATCGATTAATATTATTACCCACGAAAAATTAATCGAAAGCGCAATCACGAAATCCACACAAACGTAGTAAAGCAAAGGTCATGATCTTAAATCGTTAAAATAAGGCCGAAATAATATTTTTAAAAAATATATTCGAGAGAAACGTGTTTGCATTAAACATCTTTAATAAGCCACTGAAAGGAATTCGCTCTCAGAACTTTGGCTTTACGTAAGAATCAACTCTGACTCTCACGTCAAGATCACATAAATCAATTTATTGCCAAATAAATTAATAAATAACTTTTTTTTCTAAAAAATTTCACACTGTAAGAACGCCTCGAACTTCCCAATAAAGAAAATGCGTGTGGAAATATTCACTGGGCGAAAAAGATCCGCTCAAGGGGGAGATAATATGTCTTAAATTTGTACATCACTTCCATAGTTTCTGTGCAAAATCTTCAACACGATTTGAAAGGAACTTTTCTTCGCTTTTTAGACTCTTTCGACTGTTTCTTACACTCAATTCTGACTTTTATCACAATCTAATCGAAGTTTTGCCTTCAGAAAATGCTTTAAGAAATTCTGACCAAATTGTGAGGTTATGAATCCGGCTTAAAAGCTCCTCTTCAGACTAATCTTAATCTTCTTGCCACTTTAAAGCAAAAACCACGGAAATAACTAAACAAAGAAACGTTTTTCTAGACTGAAGTTAGATTTTTTGAGGTTATGATTGACTTTCAAACTTTTTCACAATTAATATGAAGTTTTTTCGATTAAAAATGCTCAAATCTGCCATGAAAAAGATCAATCTTTACATTTTAAACATAAATTTGATGATTTTGAGGATCACATAACCTAAAAAAAAGCAATAAAATTGATTTTTTTAAGCAAAATTAATTAAGAAGTGGCTCAATTTGTTGAAACTGAAGCTTTTGCAATGCAAATACAAGAGTTGTACATCACTTCCGACCATAATATCCGCCCCTTGGACGTGATCTTTTTCAATTTGAAACACTTTTCACGGTTTAAAATAATCGCATTCTCAGCATTATCTCAAGACGTCTGTTTTCGTCTTGAGAACAGGTTTAATTAGGGGCATTTAGGAACCTAATCACTGCACAAACTACACGCACGCCTAAGTTGTGTCAGAAAAGAGGGTCATTCAAGTCTTTTACAGTGAATGTCAAGATATAAAGCGCTCTTTTATTGGACACTTCTTTTCACGCACCCAAAAACTTGTTTCATAGATTTTTTGTACTTCACAAAACACTATTAATTCGCCATTAGAGGTGTTTTTGTGCAGTATTTTTTTGTCCATCACATCAATTAATAAGGAAACAACATATTTCGTGGACGATTTGACTGTCAATTGTATTTGAGACGCAATATTTGACAAAACGACGTTGCTTAAAGGACTCAAACTCACCTTTGTCCTCGTTGATTTCAATCACCGCGGGCTTCTCTGGATGATGCCCATTGAGATGGATTCCATTGCCACTGAGGTTCGTGTTGTTCATCTCGGTCACAAGAGCGGACTCAATGTCGTTCGCGAGACTGTTAATGGTGGACAGAGAAGATTGGGTGTTGGGACGATTCGATGGAACCTCGCCGAAAAGCGCCGGCTCATCGATCTGAACATACGTTGAGCTCATAACTCTGCCTTCTTTGTGGTCTTCTCGAGTGAAATCTCAGCTTCTTTTTCTCAATTTATCCGCTGGAATAGTGGAGGTCTTCGCCGAGTGAATGTGTGAAATGAAAGAGAAATGATAGATGTATAAAGAAAACCTCTATTCACTATTCAAGTTATGACTTAATGATTTGCTTAAAAGAGTCAAGAACTTGAATTTTTCATAACACGCGGTTAGCATAAAGAAAAGTACCGCGATTTCACATTCTTTTTGTGCAATTCTCTGTGAGGAAGAATGCAAAGAAAATCCTACTCGTCAAAGTATTGCAAATTCATCAGCTGAAATTCTCTTTCGCATGCAAATTCGAAATCAATCTCTATTAAAAATGCATAGATAAGAAATTGTGGGATTAATTATGCACACAATTTTTAACTCAATATCTTCACAGTTTCAGGATTGACTTCAAGATGATTCACTAACATAATTGTAGCTTGAAGAAAAATCTCTTATCTATCAGCATTTCAACTCTATTTTGTGCCATAATTATTTACCGAATTCTTTGTTGGATATTGAAGCAAATTTAAATTTCACTTTCTCTCTCTATGTGAGCTGGAAAAACGCAGTGTAAATTTTTGAGGTCACCCAATTTCGTTCACAATACGGAATAATTCTGCTGATTACGCCGCAATTCTTTACACGACACAAAAACGCCGTTCTTTCGCAGTGAATTGTTAGAAAATTACTGATTTTACGGATTCTCTTGTCAAACTTCCTCAAATATTGACTTTTGCCCCTCTTGAATAATTAAAACGATAAAAGGAAGATGATTTTTGAATATTGAATATGTAATTGGGAAGGGTCTTCGTTTCGGGTAGAATATTATATTTTGTGTTGAATATTATTCCTCACAGCAAATTCCAATTGTCATTCTGTCCAATTCTGGAGACAACTTGGGAGTTAATTACCGAGCACAATTCTCTTAATGAATATTATCACAATCACTACATTGTACTTACTAACTTCAGCTGCGAATCTCACTGGACTTCTCACCGATCGAGAGACGCTGAATCTCGTCTAACAATCGTTACAGCTTCAGAGTCTTCAGAGCAAACACAAATACACTTTGACGCTTTATTTTCCACTGAGCACAAAATGTGTGTTTAATGTCCGATTTGCGACGAAATAATAAAAAAAATGGGTGAAATAATAGAGTGTTAAAACGGTGAGGCTGCAATTAAGAGATAATCAAGTCATATGCGGAACTGAGTGAAATGTCTTTCATGTGAAAAAAAAGCCACTGGATTTTTGTCTTAATATCGGCACACGATATCGTTCCACTGAGACGCACATTCACACGTTCGAGTCTCACTTGGCGGAGTTTTCCCCTTTAACTGATTTAAATTGCCGCACTATCCGTGGCTTGTACTCCAAAGTGTGTTCCTCCACAGCTGTTGGTGACGTACTGCTCGAATGGTGGCGTCGTGCCTCCAAAGTTTGGGTCTGCGTTCAGCAGGAGACGACGAGACACTGGCAAATGCGAAGTGTCAATCAGCCACGGAGTGATGAGAACAAGTGCATCTGCGACTTGAGACGTCCGCACAACAATGTCCCCCCAACATGGCCATCGATCGCCAATTGGGCCAAAGAATTGCGACGCTAGACGAAAAGAAATGGTAAGACTTTTTTCTATGGACTCAAGAGATATTATTAATTGAGAGGAGAACAGGTTTTTGAGCATGTATTACTGTTCATGTACAAAAAAAGCTTTTTACGTATCTTAGAACAGCACAGCAAAGGAGAAAAAAAACTCGTTCTAAGCCAAATGTGCAGAAAGGCTTGACTAAATGATATGCACAATTGCAACGAAAAGTGTCTTATAAATATTCTAATTGATTTGTGAAACTCATCGGCATTGGGGAAAAAAGCATTTGTGAGTGAATTTATTAACTCCCAAACAGCTGAAGAAGTTTTCCTGAATGTGACAAAGCAAACTCATCACATTCTTAATTTAATGCAGCTGAATTAAATGCTCATTTCTTATTTCTCTGTCAAAACAAGGTTAAGAATATTATGTGACTGTTTTTTTTCGCCATATTTTAATCATGCTTAAATAAATAAGCATATTTAGAAGAATTTGCCAGATGGAGTCATTCATTAGAATTTTTTTTGCTGTCTCACCTCTCAATTTGACAATCGATTATGTGGCCTTTCTACGGATTCTTCCATCGCGAAAGAGATTTTTTACACGCTGTTTTTATCTCTCTCAAAAACTCCTCAACTTCTAAGCATGATGACACTTGAGAAGCATCCTGAAGTACACATTTTTCACATCGCACGTGGGAGCTTTAAGCAAGGCATTCGGCTTCCAAATGAAGATGGTCAAATGATTAATTTTGAGATCATCCAACTTTTTCAAGACAACGCAAAAATTCATAGTCGCTATTCTCACCTTCGGACAAGCATATATTGTCTGCGGCTGTGTCTAACAAATCGCTTTATACAATAGAGAGTTCATTGCATTTTATTTCACTTCCATTTCTCATGATTTATATGCAAAGAACGACGGAAAAACATACTATTGGCTATTAAAATATGCAGCATATTTATTTTCCTTTGCCAAGAAAACAAAGTGCATTGCATTCTTTATTGTTCTGAGGATTTTATCTGTCTTCAAAAAAAAACTTCTCAGAGCAATTAACTACAGTTTCGACACTTCGGCCCTTATCCAAAAAAAATCGGCAGATTGTTTTCTCCGCATAAAAGAAAATTTCCCAATGCTTGGCAAACCCTAAAATTACTCCAATGGCTGGCTTGTGTGACTTATTTTCTAATAACACAATTATTTTGCACTGCTTTTAGGCCTAATGTCCACTCCAGTGGCTATTTTGGTGATGCGAGTGAGCAAAAAAAAAATAAAGGCTCGAGCTAACGCAACAATTTAGTCAATATTAAATGAACAAGCGATTTTTGTTGATGCAAAAGTGAAAGTTCAAATCGAAAATATACGTGACCTGCTAATTGTATTGGGTGAATGTATAAACCTAAAGTGTCTGTCTTCTATTTTGGCTGCTCAAATGTTCAGTGAGAGATGCAAAAACAGGGCCAAAAAATTTCAACACACTCAAAAGAATTCCAACACGTCTTAATATGCTCATATTGAATCGAGATGTTAGTATTTTTCTATTTGTCCACTGACACAGAGCGTGCAAATTAAATAATAAATAATAATGGAGCGATAATAAGTAAACTTTAGAAGTTAATGAGTCGTGAAACACCTAAAGGGCGATAATTATTTCTTGTTATGTCTAATTACTTGAAGAAATCTTGGGATGTTATAACGATTTTCTGTATAATAATAATTTAATATGTGGATTTGGCTCTTCGCTCAAAGATATCGCAACTTTCGATTCTGCGGTTGATGTCTGGATTTTATTCAAGACACCATGAATTTAGTACAGATTGTTTTAAAAATAATAACACAGTCCAGCAGTGGTTCTTGCTCTTCTCTGAAAGGCCAAAATCTCCCAAAGTCCTCATCCGATCGTTAAAAGTGGCACAGATTTGGAAAGGTGGTTTCATTGGCTACAACTTCCTGGAACATGTCAAGATCGCCAAAAATACTCCAAAGGGTCAAAATGACCCCAACTCCCAAAGATGCACAGAAAAGTGTCCTTTTTGGGTGTTTAAAAAATCACATAAAACACCCTGCGAGTGGCAAAAATTCGCGATATCCTTGAAGATGTAGAGAATTTCACGGGGCACATTTCCGCCATACACCACTTTTCTCTCCGAGATCTCCGAGTCGAGATATTTGCCTTTTCCCCCTTTTCAATCCGCCTCATCATACACTGAGAAAAATTACAGCCCGAAAGTGCATTTTCTCGCTAATTCTGCCCAGTCTGGCTTAACAAAATATCATATAGGAAATTCAATGCATTAAGGCTACATTTCGCCGCTTTTTGCCCCGTATTTTCCCCCTTTTTAATGCAAAGTCGTCTTATTTATCAAATGCCCAAGAATAATTGAAAGCCAAGAACTTCTGTTTCACTTTGCAGAACTGTATTTAACGTTTGCATTGAGAGAAATACATAAATTACATATCTTAGGTTTAATATAAAATAATAAGACGGTTTTTCTTCTACTCTACCGTTCAAAAATTACTGACTTAATGCAAAGATTGATAAAATTAAGCTTCTGTCATGTTTTCAATGAGTCACTTTTTAAAATAATCATGCCGTTTAATCAATAGTAACTTGAGGTGTAATAAAATTTCGTATGAATTCACCGCAAGGGCAGCGCTTATCAATAATTGTATAATTCTTTATGCGCCAGTCGTAAAAGTATAATTGCGAAAAGAAGCACGAAGTCATTAGTTGTTGAAGAAAAAATGCATTTTTCTTACCTTCCCGAACTCAAAGGTGTTTCGAAATTGCCAGCATAAACCACGGTTTTATCCCATTTGTCCATCCAAGTGCGGCACGAAGAAAAGACGCTCTTCGTATCTCCGGCAAACAAGGGTGATAAGGTGTGATGATTTGAGAAAAAGACAAGTGTTTGTGAAGCTAATTTAAAAAATATTCTCTTCTTTATCATCATACAAGATTACACATTAATAGAATTTAGAGACTCGACATGAGGAGTAAATTGATGGTTCTGTTCATTAATTAAATAGGCTCCGGGGAGTGGGAGAGCGGTCATGAGTATCTTCAGCGGCAGCGGGGCTGGGCTTAGTGGTGTGCGATGGGGATGAGGGTCTCGGCGGCGGTCAGGGACGGCGGCAGCGGCGCGTCCACGGTGAGGACGCCGTCTTTGCTGAGGGACGACCTGATGGACTCCGGCGCGACGCCCTTGGGCAGCAGGAACTCGCGGTTGTACTCACGATAGACGCTCTTTGTGTCGGACTTCTCCTCGTGCTTCGCGTGCACCAGCAATTTGTTGTCAATCGTCTTCACGACAATCTCCTCAGGTGTGTACTGACTCACATCGAATCGCAGCTTAAGCACCTTGTTATCGCCATCCTCCTGCAAGGACGAACAGAAGATTTATGATCAGCAATGATTGGCTTTATCAGAATTTCCAGGTGGTGTTCTTGATACGGAGAATTGGTGTGAAATTCCTTGCCAAAATAATATCTTTCAATCATTGCAAATAGTTGTAATTCATCTTCATATTCCCCAAATTTTCCCCATGGGATCAACAACACCATTTGGTATTTATAGAAATGATTAAGGATAATGTTCTCCTTGAGATTCCAACGCTATTATACCATCTTTATGGCTTCTCTTGTGAGATATTTACCTGAATTAGTGGTGAATTTATGTCGCTCACGTAATTCTGCTTCGGCCTCTGAGAGAGAGCAGTGTTTCCTGCGTTGCTCTGAGTGGTTGTGGAACTGCAATGGAGGAAAGGAAGAGGGATTAGCAAGGCATTTATGGCGATGCGCAAATTTTCCTCGTGGGAATTAACACTTCACACACACACACGCAGAGTGATGTTTTTCATCAACAGCAGGAGAGGGATATTCTAGAAAACTCATTCCACACGCGCGCGCGGCGCAATAAAAATATTGAATGACTCATAAGTGTGTCTCAATAGGAAAAATGCTGATGATGGCGATGAGTAACACTCACAGACAATCAACAAGGACTCCTGTGTGCTTGTCTCAGGAGATGTGCCACTGCGACTGTGAGTCACTTAGCACATATTTCATGTGTGCGAGGAATCCTCTGAAAGACGACAAGAATTGAGACATTTTCTGGGGTTCAGAAGGCTCATCATGAGGTGTGTGTGGGCACGAGATGAGCGAAAATAAAGAACACGCAGCGTGATTGTGAATTTGTCAGTGGCCAACATAAATAGTAACACAGCTGAAAATAATATTTCTAGCACATTCTTTCCAACTCTCTTCAAACACCTCAAGATTTGTCGAACTTGTCACAAGAAAATCCATCACAGATCGGCCTGAAGAACTCCAGAACATTCATCAGAATCATAAACAAAACCTTCACGCTATTTAGTGCTTTGCATGCAAAATAATATTTCTTGCTAATCCAGCGAAAGTTAACACAAAATCACCATATAAAATATATGAGTGTTATTTTTGGCATCACATCTCGTGTTAAACAAAATGATTACAATAGATAAATTTTCTCTCTCTCAAAGTGGAGACAAAATATAATCATCCAACTTTATGTAATGCGTTTGTATCTCACAAATTCTTGCACTTCATTCTCATGATAAAAATACATATTGCAGAAGCGCAAACACATAACTTTGCGCACAAAGTCTTCGTGACTAATTTCATATATAAATCCCATAAAATTATCCAAGAGGAAAATGTTTCTTTAACTCAATCTGCATTCTTCATCCACGGGTGAATTGTTCTGTCTTGGCAGACGCTTGAAAATACAATTGAGAGGCGTTCAAGTGAACAAATTGTGGACTTATTAAAGTCAATTAAATCACACCTCAAATTGCGTGATGAGTTCCAGAGGAAAATCACACTTTGTCATGTGTAATTTCATTAAATAACGCAAGATAATTGTAAGACAGATGGAGAAAAATGATATGATTTACAGCTCAAGATCAAGAAAATCATGATTTTCGACATTAAAATATTCAATTCATGCAATCAAACATCACATCACACCGGAATGGTTATTTATTCTTGTAAACAAACAATGGTGCATTGTTGTGCATGCATATAAAACTAGTCCTCTAAGTACAACACTGACTATTGTGGTATGTACCTGGTGGTTGTGGTCTTTTTCGTAGTCGAGCTGTTTGGTTATTTGCGAAGAGCAAGAGTAGAGTTAGAAATGTCATCCGTTAGAGGCATGCGAATTCAATAAGGCATTAGTTTATAGTTTCGCTTTTAAATATTAGTTCTACTTCAAATATTCAGCGCTATATTTAAATCTAAATACACGGAGATTATTTATGCATTTCTTTTCTCTTCATATAAACTATCTTGCTAATTATATTCTTGAGCCCAAAATATTCGCGAATCCATACAATTGTGACGTGTCAAGGGGGAGATAATATAGTCAGAAGGGGTGTAAAAATACTTCAGAAGTGAAAGTGTTGTAAAACCTACAATATTCCTTTCCTGAATCCTGTTTTTACTGACAAATAATAGAGATTCTTCAAATTTCCTTCGATTTTCACGCAGAAAAAAACGAAATAATTATTTTTCTAGGTTATGTAACAAATTAAGGATAGATTTAGTGAATAATTCGCATTGTAGCACATAAATTCATATGCTAAAATCGACAAACAATTAACAGTGCTTTTCTGATCCTTTGATGCCTAGAAACACTGCAAATTGTGCTAAGATTGAACATAACCTCAAAAATAATCATTTGAACTTAGAAAATGTTCATTTAAACAACTTTCTGGGCAATTTTGATTGAGAATCAGTAATTTTTACTTCATTGGTAAATTTTGGCCGGTAAAGATGTCCAAAAACAGCGGTTTTAAATCGATTCTTATCGAAAAAACGAATGGAAACTTAAGAGATTCCATTAAAATTTGGGAATTAATGTGGAATCAGTCGAATAATTTCAAATTCTAGAAATGTCAGGCAAATTTGACTTGATATTCTGGTGAAACAATATAATTCTCTATCGATTTACTCCACCTCGACATAGTAACATGTTATTTAACATAACACGAAATGCCGGGATGAACTTTCGTGTGCACATTTGGAGGAGTCATCGAACTCACAAGCTAAACAATATGTGTGTCTGAAAGAAACAGACATATATTTGCCTCAATTTCAGCTCCAATATTTGACTGTGTCTTCCTCATGTCTTTTTGGAAATCGCGCGTTTCAGTGAGACCCAGAATGACGCGGCGAAAGAGGAAATTTGTACATTCTAGACACTCTTCTGCAAAATTTATTGCTTCATCTGAGTGAAAATAGAACTGAAAATAGATTCGATTTCATTTTGGAAATGCTACAATGGCAAAATCCGAATGGGAAAAAGTGTTGAGCCTGTTTTGTGAGATTGTGTTTTCTTCTCATCCGTCATTAGAACACGAGAGAGCAAATATTTCAATGTTAAATTTATTTGCATTGGACAGTGAGTTGGAAATAGCAACTATTGTACTGGGCAACCGTTTTGTCGTGCCTGAAAATTCAATCATCAACGAAAATAGCGCCACATTGGAGTTTATGCTGTACGCTATGTACCTCAGAAATTTAGTTATATAGAGTCCGCCTTTATATAACAATATGTTAATGGATGAGGAGCAAAAAAAAAGAGGCAGATATCGCATCATCGCTCCAATTACGCGCACAAAATGGGCAATATTCAATTAATTTGGGTGCTGTGCTGCTTGCGAAGTCATATCTCAGAGGTTATTTCTGGTCACCGGCGGCCAAATCTAACAATCCTCCTCAAGATTGTGCACTTGACAATTCGCACACCGTATTTGTGCATGGGAAGGAAGAGAGAGACCTTCCTCGAATTCCAGTCACGGTTATTCGTATGACGAAATGATATTCATGATGGTGGAGAATACAGTGATTTTAATTGAGTCTCTTGCGTGGCTGCAAAAGAAACGCACTCCTTATAAGGCGAATGAATGTGGCAGCCCAAGCAGACGAGAGTCTCTCTCGCCAGTGTTCAGTGCCACGAGAGATGATTGCTCATTGAGAAAAAGCGTCGATTTTGTCGCGAGTTGGCGGTAAATCCGCGCGTGAAGTGTTCAAAGTCAAAGGGGCCAATCACTTTGAGAAAAACGCCATACTTTGCCCACGATCTTGACACCCAAGTGGCGGCATTTACACTGTCCGGAGCAATTTAGTGGGAGAAATATGTCAGCAACAGACACTTCCGCCATGCACAGATGGCCTGAGTGTGTGGAATTGGGAAAGTACAGACGGATATTTCCTTCCGGTTATTCTGTGCACTGAACTGGAAGAGGTTCTAAGAAAGTCTTCCTGGCATTTTACAGCCCTAAAAGCCTTATTAACTTCAACAAGGCCTCCGAAATCACACTGATTCGCCCTTTAATTGATGGTCGGTCCTTGAGACGAACAGTTTTTCCCCGAATTTCCATGCGTGCGTAAATTGGTGTGAATTTTCATGCGATTTTTCCCTCGTGGCAACTGGTGAAAATACCAATGGTGTACCACTTCCGGCTAGAATTGATTTTCTCCTCTCCTTTTCACTCTCCCTTTCGTCCGACCACCCCAAAAAGCCTCTTGAGCTCTCTCGAGACCAACACCAAGACACGGTGTATGACTATAAATATTCCCCGGCAGCACATTTCGTCATTTACGGATGAGTAGAATAACATAAATGCCTACTTTCGCTCTCTCACCTTGATGTGGTCTCGAAGAAATTGGCTTCGCGGTTCATTAATTCGGATCTGAATTTGGCCATTTCATCTTCCATTTTGCGCATTTCGGCATCGAAACGCTCACGAATGGAGGCAAATTCGGTATCGATGACACTAAAATCGCCCAATTTGATTGGGATGTTGACTTTGTTGCTCTCGGCCATTTCTTCTTCTGCTTTCAATTTCTTGTGCACTGAACAGAAATTTGATCAAAACTCTTTGTACTCTTTCTCTCTGCCTAATCACACTTCTAAAGACACTTGTCTCGATGCTGAGAGAATTTTCTTCACCAGTGAGAACTGAGAACCGTAAAATTTTCTTTATCGCAATAAAGCACTTGTTTACTCCACGATGGTGTATACTTGACTGAATCGCTCGGACTGTGACTTTATTTAAATAGCATTTGAGTTTGCCGATCGTGAGGAATTTATTAAGGCGAAGGGGCCGCAAGAACACACCAACACACCGCAACACTCTGCCACGCACACCAAACAAATCGCACACTCGGCGCGCCGACAAACGAACGCCTCGGCACACTGTTTTCGCGTCCGCGACCACTAACTTCGTCCGCCGCCGATGAGGTAATGCGCTGTGAGACATGCGCGACGTGACGTCATGCTCACCACCACACTGCCGCCGCTGCCGCCCACTCTCAGCCGCGAGATGCATCGAGTGATCGCGATCGAGAACCATCTCCGCCATCGCGATTGTCTATTTCTGACAAGGGGGAGATAATATGCCTTAAATCCAAAGAAATCTTCAGAAACTCCATTCGAAAGCTTTCTAGATTTGGCAATGAACTCAAAATTGGTGATTCAGTGTCAAAATTACCCAGAAAGTTATCTAAATAAACATTTTCTAAGTTCAAATGACTGTTTTTGAGGTTATTTTCAAAGATTCAGAATATCAATTTTTATTGCAGTCAAATGCAAAATCTGCCTATGAATGGTGATATTTAAGACTTCGGTATATGAATTGATGTGCTAGAATGCGAATTTATTCAATAAATCTTTTCTTGATTTGTTACATAACCTAGAAAAAAGGTTTTTTCTTATTGATTCTGCGTGAAAATCAAAGAAAATCTAAAGATTTGGCATATTTAGTCAGTAAAAAGCACTCAGAAATGGATTATTGCGAGTTTTTGAACACTTCTACTTCTCAAGTACTTCTGCTGAGTTGTACACCACTTCTGACTGTATTATCTCCCCCTTGATTTCTGATCTATTATTGCGATTCCGCCGAGCTGCACGTGAAAGTTCGGGAATGTTAGTCACTGCCGTGGTGTTCCAAAGATGAGCCTCAGCTGGTGCGCTTTCTCACCAAAGTGACGCCATCGCGGTGCTTTTCACTCCCGCGAATAGAACATTCTTAATTGCTTCCACATGTCATTCTGGGAAGGCGTTCTGGCCATGTGCAATTCGTCTTCAGAGAGGTATGAATATATCTCAAGATATATCGTCTAATGCACGCCAGAGTTTGGCAATAATCAAGGGGAAAGATCAGAAACTTTGTGATTATTCAATGCATTCTTTTTGATTTTTTCAAATATTTAAATATTAGTATTTTTTAAGCGTTGATCTTTTATTTCTACTTTTAGGAGTTCGAATCCAGCTAGTGGAAAATTTTGTAACTCTTTTGAAGTGAAGAAAATAAACAAATTTTAAATATACTTAATTATTCGTAATATATTTTACTATAAATTTGATTTATTTAGAAATTTTGTTGAAAATATTCAATTTTTAATGATTTTGCTATTTTACTAGACAAATAATCATTTTTTCATTATTATTATTTATAAAGTAAAAATCAATCATTTTAAAATTCCAATAACACCATTAAAATTCCCTAAAAATCGTCTAGTGACTTTTCCCTTGGCAGTAATTTCGAATATATCTTTATGAGTTTACGGAGAGGAATTAAAAACGGGTTTAATGAAGCATAAAATGAATTTCACACGCTAAATATGCGAACATTCAAAATTGATTCATGTCTCTGCAAATTCCACGCCATCAATTTGAGGTGAAACAACTTCTGGACGCATTTTTAACGATGCGAATAAAAACAGTCAACAAGTATTAGGCGAGACTTTGAATGTTTTTGGCCTAAAAAAGCCTGGCACTTTTCCAAGATCATGACAAGATTAAAATTAATTCTAAAGTGATTCAATGCGTGTGGGCTTCAAGAACAGAATCCAAGATGATGAATTTCCGGAAGTGTGGAAGCACTTGGCGATGTTTCAGCGCAGATGAGAATATGATACAATTCATCGAACATTCTGGATTATGTGCCAATTGTGGATTATAGAAGCTGAATTAGCATGGAGAATTTGTCGCGCATTTCGAGCAAAATCGACCCAGAGATCATGCATAGATTAAGTGCGCAACTCAGTGCGAGTCGGCTTTTAGCATGTCCGATGGATGCCTTTGCAAATTGACAAGAGTATTTATGATTGTTGTGCTGGCAAACACTTATTATGTAAGCTCATGAACATCAAACTCGTGTTATTGAGTTCTACCTCGCATTGATCTGAGAAGAGATGAATGTCGTCACTTTTTTTCTGACTTATTTGCCGAGCAGAAGACCCTCAATGTCTTGTTTGCTCCTCATTGCATATGATGATGAGTAATTCTGCTTGTCTCGATGTTTCTGTTTCTCTCTCAAAATACGCGAATTACAGTGCTGAAATTGTCTCACAGTGAATCGGCATGTTGTAAATAAATAAAAGAAACTTAATCACACATTCTCACTGATCCCAATTGTGTGAATCGTGGGTGGACATTAGCATTTTTCTTTTACGATCGCTCGTCAATTTGCCATGAATGCCTCGAAACTTTGTGTAGCGCGCAAAGTGTTTTTCATTTCGTGTGAAGGTGAGAAATTCTGCCTGAGATTTTCTCTCTCAACGTTTTTTGCCTGATGAGGAGGCGTTCTCTGGACATGGAAATAGACGTGCGCTCATAATCATATTCACGAGACAACATTTCCTTTCCGCATCACGTTGAGAATTCAGCCCAGTACATTGCCTTTTAAAGTCACCATCTCGTGAAGCCCACACAACGATTTACTATACATTTCTCCTCCACTTGGCTTCTTTGGCAGTCGAAAAAAAGGCTAATTCACTCAATTTCTTAATCTGTAATGCGCCGTGAGGGAAATCAAGGGGTCGATCGCAATAATTGGAGATAGTAATGCGCTCTGAGATGTTCAAAGCGTCATTTATCTTACAAAATTCATGCTTCTTGCTCATTCAATTTGATGAGTGTCAAGCAGAAAGGCGCAAATGAACTGATATAATAATTACATAAACTATAAAGAATTTTCATAAAAAAACCCCCATAAATTTAGCTTTAATCAAATTTTCCACTCAATTCTGCCAATATGTTTTCTAAGGAGGAGATAATATGTCTTAAACCTTGAGGCAACTTCCAAACACTCCCAAATTTCCAAATTGTCATGAATTTCTTAAGTTTCCATCTGATATTTCTATAAGAATTGATTAAAAATGCATTTTTGAACATGTTTTCCAACCATAACCTCAAAATATCGCTAAGAGATCTTCAAAAACTCTGTTTAGAAGTTTTCTTGATCAGAAAATGATCTGATTATGAGTTTTAATGAACTCAAAATTGCTGATTATGTGTCAAAATTGTTTAAAAAGTCTTCGAAATGAATATTTTCTAAGTCTAAATGACTATTTTTGAGGTTATGTTCCAGTTCGATACAATTTTCAGTGTTTATTGGCATGAAAAGTTCAGAAAAGCACTATTTATTAGTGTAAGTGCTTAATTCTTTCCATTGCTAACGATTTCTCTGACTTGAATGCGAATTATTCGTTAAATCTGTCTTTGATTCGTTACATAACCTAGAAAAATGTTTTTGTGATTGATTCTGCGTGAAAATCTGAGGAAATCAAAGGAAATTGGGATAATTTGTCTCACTCAGGAAAGGAATACTGTAAGTTTTTAAACACTTTCACTTCTTAAGTCCTTCTTCTGACTGTATTATCTCCCCCTTGATGTTTTCATACATTGTATGCAATGTTTAAAATTTATTGTCAAGATTAATAAAATAATACGACATCTGATATCTTCTTGTTTTCGGCAATCAACTGAAATGCGATTAACTTTGCAAGTCATGCCAAAATTTGTCTGACAAAAATTGCTGCAAGCGGATTATTGGCCAAAGTTTGGAAAAGGTCAAAAACATAAGTTATTGATTAAACGTGACATTTTATTTTCTATCCCTAAATTCACCGCGTTTTCTCTTCCTTTTCATATTGATCCAGACACGGTGGCGCGACTGTTGAGTATTTTGCTCACCATCATTGCGTGATTCACATGGAATTGGGTCAGATTTACAATGCACTCGTTGTCCTCCTTTCGGGCGATACAAATCTAGGGTGGAGTGTCCTTTTCAATCACAGCCCTCAATTAATCGTCTAGCGCTCAAGTGGAGATTTTATTGGATAAGCCGTGAATATTTATTGCAAGTACTTTAACTCACACTTCTTCGCAAGACTTCATCGCGGGGGAAAACTCACTTTCGCACGGCATTCGCTGAGACATCTGTGGTGCGATGAGAGAAGGTTTTGCGTGAAGGTTTAGAGCTCGGACGAGACTTAGTACTGTTATATGGGCAACAATTGCTGCGAAAGAAGATAAGAAGATTCACTGGGAGAGATTTGTAGTGATTTTCAATGAAATTCCCCTGGTTTTTTCTCCCGATAAATCACCCATGATGGCGATGCTGTGAGGAAAAGCATCAATATATGTCTTAATATGGTAATACGGGTATATCTTCTGGCGCGATGCGCATAAACTGTTGCTCGCTTATCGTACGCGGAAGGAAAAGCATCTTCCAGTCATTCTTCGCGAGCGGTGAGAAATTGCAAATGAGTGAATCTCAGAGAGATTGCTTTTTCCTTACTTTTTCCCCATCCAAGAATCTTTCGGTTTCCCATTCAAAGTCGCTGTTGGAACGCCGCGACTTAGAAGACGGCGAAGACGCGATCTTTGGCGATCGCGAGTGACTGGTTTGTGTAAGGTAAATCAGCATCATTGGCAAATTTGGCATAGTCAGTGCTTGACCTAAATGGTGACTCATTTTTTCTTCAATTCCATGTGTGTGAATGGCAAAAAAGAAACAAGCAAGAAATGTCCGTTCATTGAACCAAAGCTTGAATGCTCGTAGATTCTTGATGACTGAGAAATCACGTTTTCAAATCTGGCGCTATTAATAAAGAAGTTACTATTTATAGACATTGACACAGAGATCAAGACATTGCTTTGGACTGATATTTCACCAAAAAGGCCCCAACAATTCAAGTCCATAAGGAGTTATTTAAGATACATTTCTTTCACTTGAGAGACACTTCATGCCGAGGAATTCATGCGGAGCAACTCGGTGAATTGCAAATATGCTAAAATTAATTTCAATTAATTTAATTAGAGAGATAAGTTAATTGAAAACATGCTCGAGATGCACATTCTCGGAATGCATATAAAGGCTAAAGAAATATTTCTTTATGCAAGACATCATCAGGGAAAAAATATATACTTTTCCCTTCACAAAAATTGCTCTTTGCACGTTTTTCGAATATTTCATCACCTAATGAGGTCAATTAGCAAATGTATTCAGCTGAAAAAGGAAGCACCTTTCCATTCGCGTCGCTCATCTGATTCTTTATCGATTGTCAAGATTTTGCTGAAGAGATCGCGCCGTAACAGTTAATCAGAAACTTAACCCATCAACAAAGTGCGCAAAGAAGGAGTTTTTTCTTGGGTGTTTTTTGGGAGGAAGTAAAAGACCATCGCTTTGTTGCTGTATAATAATGCATATGTATATTCAAGAAAAGTGTGTGAAATACACAAAAAGAATAAAATAAAATGTATATTTGGAAACTATTAGTAAGAGTTTTGGAAAGTAATACATTAATATAATTCTACTCATCTCTCTCTCTCTGGCAGACTTAAATGGCTAAATGGCGAAAATAGGGAGACAATATAATTTTTCTTCATAACATTATTAGATATATATATATATATACTTGCTGTTTTCTGTTCATTAAATTAAGAATTAATACATATAGAAATAGTTTTCTTTTTTTTCTTCTCATTCTCTAAATCAATACAATAATTAAGAATTGCATTAGTGAATAAAATATATAAAAATTTCTCGTCAGTATATTTTTTGTAGGTACATTTTCTCTGAAACTGCATCTGAACTGCGGAATCCGTGTGATTTTTTTTTCCTGGGGGTGTTTTTTAGTCTGGGACAGAAGGCTGCTTGTTTCATTGAGGGTGAGAGTGTTTGTGTTGATGAAGTTGTGGTGTAAAATTTTTCCCAAGTATGTACAATTTGGAAGGTGTGGAAGCGTCCAGATTCAGTGAGAGCCAACGTGAGTCTCTGGTGCCTCGGCCTTAGAGGTGGACGGTGATTGAGTCTGTGATGTAAGGGTTGGGGGATGATGGTGATGGTGTACTGGACTGTGGCCTCTCTTCCGTACTTGCTGCGGGTTTTTGGTTATCAGACGTTGTCGAGGAGCTCTGAGACTTCTTCAGTGCATGACTCCAATTTGGCGGGAAATCGCTGGCCTCATCCGGCGACAGGGAAATGTCAGCTATTATCCCACTCTCTGCCAAGCAAATTCCACCATTAGCCACAGTCTAAATAAATCCCCAACGAACTACTCCACTCACCCATAGAACATTGGCTGACTAATGTTGTCGAACGGTGGTGCTTTCGTCCACTTGGCGCACTGCCCAGCGTCGATGCAATACAAGTGGTAATTGGGACGTTCTCCTCCACCAGCTGCAGTGTGTTGGCCGACGATCGAGAGGGATTAGCGCTGGAGTTGCTGCTTCCGGCGCCTGAAGTGCTGCCATTGCTGGACGCCGCGCTCGTGCTCACGGAGGAACTGCTCGTGCCGGAGGACATGCTGCTCACGGAAATGATGGAATTGGGACGCCGAGCGGTCTTCACTTCTGTCTGGCTGCCAGTGAAGGAGTTCCGGAATTTGGGCGCTGCAACAACCACAAAACCGTAACATTACGTACTTGAAAACAAACCCAAGTTCAAGACTTACTCTTGCCAAGTTGTGAAAAACTGATGGATCGATCATTAATTTGATTTTGGCTCGGTCGAATATCAAGACAGGGTTTGCTACCGATGCCCATTGAGGACATCTCCAGAAGTCGAATCTCTGCAGAGGCGTAAAAACGGAATTATAGTCGTCAAAATCGATCCAGATTAAAAAATAATTGAGTAAATACCTCGATTCTTTCGGGCTTGTTTCCACAAAAGCTTGGAAATCTCTTCAGTCCACATGTTCTTGATGTCCTCAGACATGCTCTGCAAAGTCCAAGTGTCGTCTGGTTTTCGCTTTCGGAACCAAATTTCGAATTTTGTACTTGAGTCACCCACATGGGCAGTTAATCCGATGTCAGATGTCTTAATGCTGTTCTTGTAGATGTACAGATCGAGATTCTGCCGGAGAAAATTAAGTTAAGTAGTTCTTTTTGGGTGGATCAACTGGGATAAGTTCTCACCTTCCGATCGGGGAATCTCCTGGCCTTGCTGAAGAGAACCAATTCCTCGAATAAGAAGACTTGGCGCAGTGTCTTTTTGCCACCACGACCTTGCCACACAAGAAACTCATTCTGTCGCAGAAGTCTTCCTTGTTCTTTGACGTTAACGTCACAGTCTCTTAGGGAGTCCATGGCAAGCAGATCATTGCCATGACGCAGTTGAAAGCGAACCATTTCCTCGGCCTTCTGAAGCTCTTCCAGATCCTCTGCAATGTACCTCAGTGCCGATCCCTGAAGAAGAGCAATTTGCACGCAATGTGAATTGAAGAAAAAGCGTGATTTTTCATTCGAATAGTGGCGAGAGTGAAAGTATTCTTACCTGAATATTGGAGCAAGCTTTCATGAGTTGTTGAAGAAGAAGCGCATACTTTCCCATTCGTTGCACGGGCTTCAGTAAGTACGACGCCAAATCCATCTTGTCGTTCAACTCCAGTTGCTTGGACTGTTTGTTTTTGTGGAGAGAAGAGAAACAAATCAATTCTCACGATGTGTCTACCCCACCCCCAAATGCTCGCGGTGATTATCTTACCTTGAAGAATGCCGTTCCATATTCACTCATCAGGGAGTCACTCTTGGGCTTATTCTTGTTATACAGGGCATAAAGATAGAATTTACTCTCGTGTCGCAAGAAGGTTGATCCAACCTTAAGAGGATTCTTCTCGAATCTGTGGAATTGTCGAGAGGATTTTTGCAGGTAAAAGTGAAGGTTCAGTGATTAATTGACATTCATTATTATTACCTCTCGAGCTCCTCTAGAAAATACTGTTGGTGGAATTCGTAGATGCGTTCGACATTCCCAAATATTACATTCCTCTGACCTCTCAGCGCCTGAGGGATGTCATCCCTCAGCAATTCCTGGGTGTAGTTCTCAATGATGTACTGCAACGACCTTACATAGTCGCGTTCTGTTCCGATCATTTCTCGCATGATCAAGAGAAGCGTCCTGCGATTGATCACAATTACACACACAATCATCACTGGTATCCTTGGCTCATACTCACTTCTGCGTTTTCTGATCCAGGCCCGTCTCCTCGTCAAACTCGGACAGGTGGAGATTGGACGAGTGACAGTGCAGATGGGAGTTTGGCTGAAAGGGTGTTGGTATGTCTGTCTGCTTCTGCGACACCTCAAAGTCCTCCTCGAGATCGTCGCTGTTGTTGCTCTTCACGCACGCCAGCGTGGCGTCCTCGAAGCTCTGGCACGAGCACGCGCGGGTCAGCTTGTCATTGCCCTCACATCGATCACATCCGCCCAGGCCGGAGTCCGCCAGCTTCGAGTGCTCCTCCTCGTCCTCCTCCTCGAGGCCCTCCTCGCGGTCCTCCTTCTCCGCCTCCGCCAGCAGCGGCAGCGCCGGCTTGCTGTCCTCCATCTGATCCATCCAGCAGTTGCAGATCTGCACTGGCGTGGTCTTGGGCGCGGGTGTGCTCTTGATGGGCGTGCTGGTCTCCGGCGGATCGCACTTGCTCCTGTTCTTGGCCTCGCGGCATCGCTCAATGAGCCCCAGATCGCCGATCTTCTCCGCCAGGCGCTGCATCTCCAGCTGCACATCGTCCTCCTTCAGATGCAGCCCCAGCAGGTGATGCAGTCTGGCCGCTCCCTCGATCCTCTCGCGCGTCGTCTCGAGCTTCTCGCTGAACTGTCTGAGGTGCTGCTTGAGAGCACACGCGCTGTCCTTGAGGTTCTCTATCTCCATCGTGGCCTCATGAAGATCTCGCCCCTTGGCAAGATGTTTCTGCAAGAGCGCAAAGCGCCGTGCATCCCGTGAGAAAGTGTGTGCATGAGAGGAAATTTGTGTCAACTCACCATCGATATGAAGTAGAATTTCTCAAAATCTTGCTCTTGATCTTTAATTATGTCGCCCGACTCCAGTGGTACTTGTGTATATTTATGCAGAGACTCATCACCGTCGTTTCTCATCCACGTTAAGACCTGAAGTGAAGTGAATATGAATTTTTTCTTTCTTGCGCGCACACACAGAACATGAGTTGTGGTGGAGTGAAAGAAAATAGAGAAATTAAGAGTAATTAATAAATCACCGATGAATTATTAATTAAATTACTATCTATAGCCAGCAAACATGGTGAAATGGGTGCGTGCACAAATATTTCTCCTACATTGCGCGATGATGTTCATTAAAATTCCCCGGCTCGCGAGGGGAGGGAATATTGTGTTTATGTATTATGGATTGTATGAGAAAATAGTGGCAAGTGGCATGTAAACGGCTCTATTAATTACGGAAATCTCAGGAGAGAGAAAGAGAGAAAGAAGGCCTTTTTCTTGCAATCAGACAATCACAAATACACACTTTTTTTCCATCACTATCACCTTTCCGGTTGATGATATTTTGCCTTCATTATCTGTTGAATATCAATGCAAAGTTGGGTGATCTTGACTTGCAGTGAAGCTTTAGTGATTTCGCGGGTAGTTTTTATTGTTCACCAACTGCAAAACTTTCTATTGACTCTTCTTCAACAGATGCATTCAATGTGAATGATAAAGTTTTTCTGCTAATTCATATAATTTATCAAATCAAATCCGTCTGAAATCTCTACGGTGGGATTTAGATAGTAAAAACTAGTGTTTGCAGAGCTTTTGCTGACCATAATAGTAATAATAACAATTATAATTGAAATGAAAACAAAGTATTGTGTAATTTTTTGTTTATTTACAATTTCACCTAAATTTTGCAAAATTACGCCTCGTTGCAACTTTACGGATTTCGTATTTCAGTCCGTATAAAATACTAATCTTGACATTGAGCGTGTTTCTGATGGGAATCTTGAAGGATTCTGCTGGTCAGATTGTCCGGGAAGATGTCTTTGTTGCGAAATTTTAGCACAGTTGCAATTTTTGTACGCGTGAACAACAAATTGAATAAAAAATAAGGAAAGGATCGAAGCTAACCTCAATCTGGTGCATTGAAATGTGCACAAATGGTCGGAAAATCTAATAAATATGTGATTTTTTACATAAAAACAGCATTATTGTCTATTTCCTTGGTTTTATGTCTCGAAGAAGATAAATTCACCACATTCGTATAATATACTAATCGCAATTATTATGACAGCTTATTAAAAATGGTATGAATTTAAAGTTGCAACGAAGCCTTCTTGAACTTGACCTTAATTCATTTTTTTCACTTTCAAAACTTCCTACAACTTGACTTTCTATCAAGCAAAGTCATTTGCCGCAGCGCAGCTTTGGTTAATAATCAATTTCTGCCATCATCTCAGGAGATATCCATATTTGCCAATGATCGTCATGTATATTATTACCAATCGCATATCAGAAATCATATTATGGCGTTTCACCATGAATTCCCACACTGATAGTCATCAATGTTGTGATCCAAAGAGTTGTAATTTGGACTTTAGGATGCCTCCAAAATTGCCTCTTGCGAATTTAACATTTGCAAAGATGGAAAAATCAATTATGATCTCCACTTCTTGGGCAGTGATTTGAGGGAAATTGAGCAATAAACTGCATTAATGATCTCCAGCAAGTCATCTTCTCTCATGAACATCCCCGAATATGAAGATCTCGTTTGCGTTTCTCACATGAATGGATCAATGGAGGCTGAATTCCTCTGCTAGAGCAGTTATTCTCGCGAAGGTCTCTCTCTCTCTCTCTCTGTCTTCGGCGGGATCGTGGCTGAGATCCTGTGCTGTCTTGGGGTGTTGACAGGCTCGGCGTGACGAGAAAAATAGCAGGGGAGCGCAATTTTTTCTCATTTCCCCTTGTCCATAACGTCAAAATGCAAAACAGCGATCATATACGTGGTAAAAATAGCGCTGGATAATCGCTCTGGTGTGAAGATCAAAGTAACATCCGTCCGTCTCTCTGATGGATTGCTTGCAATTAATTTTCTGGGGAGTTTTACTCCATTCCCAGCCCAAAGACATTGCCGCACTGTGAGCATCGGAATTCTGCATTGCACATGAATGATGGGCAGGGAAAATGACAGGGTGTTTCACTGAGCACTGAAAATCACCGTGTCTCGCAGCTAATTTGCATAAGCAGTAAAGATTTTCTCCGGAAAAAGGCCCAAAGATCACATTCTTAATGCGCGCCATTTGCACTCATTGCGCGGAATATTCACTTGCGAATGACCCTATGTGAATATTTTGTTAATATTCTCGTTGAAAATGCAACTTTGTACAAACTGACGACAGCTAATAAACAATTTGTTGATGAGACGAGGAGCAAAGCAAGGAATCCCTCCAAGTTATTGGGCGTAACATCTCAATTAACTTAGAGGTAAATGATGGAATTCTTTTCAAATGACTCTCACGAGGCCCTGTCTTTATCCCTCTCCGCTATGTTTTGTAAGCTGTATTTTGTGGCAATTAAAAGGTGATAAAAAGGTGAAAAATATGCGAATGACATGAAAGTCTCGTGTGAATCATTCACGTTTTAAACGGTGCCTGTGATGATCGATTTGTTGCATGTTGAATACTAAAGAGGTGTTGAGTGAAATCACAGTGTTAAAACATGTGGAATTGGAATGGTGAGCAGAGAGTGAGAGAGAGACACCTTTGAATGCCCATTTCCGATTGACAAATGGCAGCTGATTGCGCCGTGATAAGGCGAATTTGTGCGCGCGAGCGATAAAATCGCGAAGGCATCAAATACTAAATCAATGGCCAATTTGTCGGCATTGGGTTGACAAAATTGGAATTGAAAAATTATTCACATCCACGCGGCGGATGTTTTGCGGAAAGGTGAAAAGTGGAAGAAGAGTGATTTCTGCGGTCTCCATACCTCATTGATCTCATCCTCGAGTGCCCGCTGGCGAGTCATTTCGCGGAGTCGCTCTCTGCGCTGCTCAGTCATTTGCTCCAGCCTCAGTGCCGCTCTGTCGACTTCGTGGAAGATGGTCACCACCTCCTGCAGACGCATCGCCACATGATCCATGTCACGCGAGGCGTCGTCGCTGCGCCGCCTCTCGTCCTCCGCCTGCGAATCGTGGCCCGAGACGCGCTGCGATCGCTCCTGGAGGCGCGACAGTGTGGCCAGACCCTTGCGGCGCAGATTCTGCAGCTCCGGATCCATCAGGGCGCGACTCAGGGCGCGATGCTGCGAGTGAAGCTGTCGCCGCGACGGCAAACCCTGAAGCATCAAGACATCGTCTTGTAACCAATCTATTCACGTATTCGCGTGAGAATTGGCCAAAGTGGCCTTCTAATGAATTCAACTTCTGTCCGAACGCATTTGCAATTTCACCGTGAAAAGTGGCAGCGAGATCGCGTGCGACTCAGACTGTCACACGTCGAAACTGTCGCTCAAGATCCAATATTTGTGGATGATCGCGATTAAGGCAAAAAGAGCATAGAAAACACACAGTTTTTTTGACACCATACCTGCTGGTCCGAATTCCTGATGTCTCCCATTACGGTAACTAGTTTCTTTCCCACCGAAATGCACTGACTTTGAATTGGCTCGAGGGCAATGAAGAACTCCCGCCACTGCTGCTGGTCGTGGTCGCGCTCGCCGCCGTGCACTCGCAGGACGTTTTCTGGGCTTATGTAACTTCTGATTGATGAATCAGACGCGCAGCAGCAGTACTTAATCTGCAGAGAGGGAGAGAGAATTAATTGGATGGGTGAGAGTGTCCAATTTGTGGGACGCCGCCGTGGACATTACCTCGACACGACTGGCTGGCAAGTGATCTCTGGGCGATCGCTGATCCGCCGCTGATATCTGGAATGTCCCGGACACGATAACGCGCTTGACGGCGACATGCCCATGCAGCAACTGGAGGCTGCTGTCCAACAGCTCCAGCACGCTCAGCTCGGCACTTTCATTCGCCACCAAGTGGATGGTAAAAGGGACGGGACTGCGAAGAAGCCAGAAATGTTTTGCCTTTTAATTGCGCCTTTTTTCGCGTGCAAGAATAAATTAATAATTGCTCAGATCATTTCAATAAAAATATTTAAAAAAGACACTGGCGCGATAAATGCACGTTTTTTGTGCGTGGTGTGCATTTTTGGGTATTTTCAACCAGTTTTAATTGCTTCATCAGCCACTTCTTATTCTGTCTCGCACCATCAGCCACACGATTCATCATCTCACCGCCGAGACTTGCAGATATTTCACTTTTCGCGAAAAGTCACAATAAAATAAATACGTATTTGCGTGATAAATTTCCAAGAGAGACAGGCAAAGGTGATTTTTCAACAACTGATTGGCAGTTGTGAGTGATTAATTTTGAATTGAATGGTCATTATTGAAAAGAAACCCTTTAAAATAGGGTGTTTTGATACCTTGAATTGCATTCAAAGATCCCTTTTGGGAATCAAGAGCAGCTGATGGTAATAAATCTCAAGAAATTGCCACAATAATTGTGTAATAATTCAAATTGTGTACCTGCAAATGCTAATTAATGCAGAGTGCTTACTCACAACACATGTAAATTTCGGAGTCGACGCGAGAAAGAGTGAAATACATTGTGGCAAATGACTAACAAATTCACAATATTTTATTAATTTATGCCGTCTCACTTCGTCTAGACGTGTTTTCCAAATAGCCTCGTGATAAGTGTTGTCGATATATTTGTATACAAATGCGCGAGGCACAAGATTTTATATGAAAGGAGAGAGAGGAAAAGGAACAAGAACATGAGAGTTGAAATATTGCGAAATTTTTGTGAAAACGCCATCGAAAACATTCGTGTCACCCACTTTTTGAATTAATAAATTTTTACCCATAAACAAAATGCACATAGAGTTTCATTCATAAAGTGTGTTACATGCTTCGCCCACTCACTTTACACGCGAAATACGACAAATACATCTCGCGTTAGATATCTCACAAGACAAAGTGAGAAGCCATTTGTATCTCTCTCTCTCTCTTCGATGATTCCGAAAATTTCTAAACAATTTTTCCACCAAACACCACAAGGACAACAAAAAGCCGCGACTTTGCAGCAAAATGTGCGCGATATTAAGAAAAAAAAACATTGTTAATGCATAGAAATTTCTCAAGACTGCACCCATAAACATCGAATGTTTATTTAAATTCTTCAGAGAGCTTTCTATTTTTTATGTTCCGTTCAACAATATTTAATCTGCAATTTAACCGAAAATAACTAGTCCATCTCACGCATATTTCATCTCCTATGGCAACATCTTTTCCCATCACTTCAGCCAGCGAAGATTCAGCCGCTCCATCTTACCGGTTGTGCGGATTATCTTGTGCTCTCCCGGATTATCAAATTACTTTTTCACTGCTCAGCGAACGCTTGGTGGCTAATATTGTTGCATACATTTATGAAATCCCATGAAAATAATCTCTATTAGCGCGAGTAATGAGCTAAACATTATGCAATTCACGTAATATTATATCTGGGAGAAGCCAGAGTGATAATGTGTGAAAATGTATAATTAGTTATGTATCTTGTGGTGCTCTTAAACACCTCAAAAACCCGTTCAATCTGTCCCAAATGGCAGTGGAAAACCACACAATCTAATTCACTCGAAGCTTTCGGCTAATTTCCTCAGCTTTTCTGCCGCCTCAATGTTTTCTCACCTGAGATTTCCTTAAATAATTGTTTGCATAACGCGTTAACCTTCCGCGGCCAAATATGGGTTTTCAATTGACAAGGTAATAAAAAATCTCAAAATAATTACACCATCGCATTAAAATCCAACCTCTTGAGGCGATTTTATCCACCGAATGTAGTTCAATGCAAAAATGTCTTTCACACCTTTTCCTATCCTAAGTCCAATTGATATTTCCACCCATTGAAAAATATCACCCAACATCGCGATGTTTCATTTCGCAATGCCTCAAGTGTAAATGTAAATACACTCACTTGAGGTCAAGATCGCATTCTGTCAATGGACATTTTCGTAAACAACGGTAAGTGATTTTTTTCTTTATCTTCTTGGCTTATTTGGCGTGAAAAAGACATTAAAAAAAATACACGTGTGTAGCAATTAATTATGCATATACATATATTGTAGATCACTATCGGAACACATGTCAATTTGCAATTATGGAAAAATGGCGCGAAGAAGGCGAGGAAAGTATTTCGGAAGTGGCGCGGGAAAAAAAGGCGCGTTGAGGCGACAAGAGAGGTGCAAAAAATGTCTTACCTAGTAGGTACTGTGCTGTAGTAGAGAAAGACAGTGGCGATTTCGTAGCAATTCACCGCTGCTTCCATCAATTTCTGAGCCTCGATCACGATAATCGAAGTATTGTTCTTGTCTTTTATGCCTGCAAGAGAGAGAGATAAAATTAAAACATTTGAATTTTTTCGCCCCATGCAAATCAATAAGACAATATCTTGAGACTTGTCTTGAGCAATGAGATCATTTGGAGATGAAAATCTCAATTTACACGCAATATTTTGGAGTCTCCAAGGGGAAAATCATTCGCGATTTGAGATTATTCAATAATTTCTTGCTTTTTCCAACAAATTTTAATTATTTTTTGATTATTCCTTGAATTTTTTGATATATAATATTTAAATATTTCGAGATTTAGTTCATAAAAGCTACAATTTTGGGTGGCAATTTTGCGCTTTTAATGAAAAGGCGATGCAAGGTAAAGTTGAGAGTTTATTTAATATGAATTTCAGCTGTTAAAAAACCATTTTCATGCCTCCACTTTTGAATAGAGGTTTTAAGAGTGTTTTTAGGGTAGAAAATTCCAACTTCCGCCCAATTTCTGTCAATTTTCCTCCACGTTGACGTAAAAAGATCTTCTTTAATTTCAATGAATCGTATTTTTTTCTATGCAAAGAATTGTAAATGCTTCGGAAAATTAATCAATTTCCTTGGAAAGGCTCAAAAGATGTTCGAAAACACATAAATGGTCATATAAATGCAAAAAATCTGTATTTATTTACCAGAAAACATCAATATTGTCTAATTTCTTGATTGTTACGTGAATTCTATGGTTTTTCTTTTTGCTTTCACGCGATGAAATATATTAATTGAACGCAGTTTTACAAATTCACAATAATGTAAAATAAAGTTGCAATGACCTCAAGATTTGATTTATTTAAATATTTTTCTGAAAATAATCAAATTTTTGATTATTTGGCAATTTTACCTGGAAAATAATCATTGTTTAATGAGTTTATTCAAATATTTATTTTTTCCCATACAAAGCATTAATAAATAATTAAATATTTGCTTGAACGCTTCAAGATTCCCCAAAAGCCGCCTTGTGATTTGCCCCTTGGGATTCCCTTTTGGTGAACCCAAAAAAGCTCGAGCAAATCGAATCGTAGACGAATTGCGAGGCCAAATCTTTCTCACAGATGTTTTGCGGCAAAAATAGTGTGTTGTGAATTGTGGTGGAAAAATATAGTTGAGGCAAGCATAAAAGGAGTTGAGTCATAAATTTGCGAAATGAAATTGCCATTTGGTCAGATGAGAAGAGGTGACATGACGTGGAGCGGGAGAAAAATGGGATACACAATTGGTAATGACAAGAAAAGTTTTCTTCAATTTCATTTTCTAACAAACTCCCTTTCGATTTCTACAGTGTGTTCCACTTTGGCCACGACAAAAGTCAATTTATATGTTAGTGTATAACAATAATTCATGAACAATTTCCGTTTTTCCCATACATAGTCGCTGTTGTTGCACTGTGATTTTTTCCGCGCGCGCGATCTTTTCTCCCTCGCGTCCATTTAGTTTAAGTCTGAACTTGATGGCAAAGCATCACCATATATAACACTGAACTTGTGACTCCTCTTTGGTCAAGGAGTCTAAATAAATGAATCCGACAAGAGTTTCTTTCTGTCTACAACTCGTATTAAATTAATACCATAAAGGAATACAACTTTTATAGCGTTATTTTCTGGGTGGAATGAATGAGGTGTTTTGTTTGTCGATATTAAACGATAAATCGTTGCCAAGACTTGTAAACTTGCAATTTGTTACATGTAATTGCAACTATGAGGGAGAGAAAAGACTGATCTTTTCTTCACTGGATCCGGCAAATGAACAAAGTATTAATCAAGCTGATGATAAACTTTTATAGGAATATCATGAGCGATTAATTCTACATCTTAAGTCGCAAATGTGCAATTAATATTGCCATATTTGTCGACGATGTGAAGGTAAATTATTGAGAATTTTTAATGAACATTGATTGTGCGAAGTTTCACATTTAAACATACATTATTTCATGTGTCATTACGATATATTTAAATATATTTATTCGTAGTGGATGAGTAAACAAGCATTATTAATTATTATTGTTGGTGCGATAAAATGGGATTTTTGACACTTTGGAAACCATGGTTTAGTTGTGAATGCTGAGCCGCGCAAGTGTGCACTAAATCTATCTAAAGTAGCGCACAACCCCATAAATATCCACTTAATTGAATTACAAATTCCATCTCATGAATTGCACTGAGAAATGTTCTTGATCTTTTGTTGTGATTAAGCATCATATGTGCGAGTGTTGTGCAGAACATTTCTGAGATTAAGTTGTTCTCACTGCCCACAGTAATAATTCCTATCCATCCGCCGATTGCATCGCGCGAACGTCAATTGAGTATCAAAAGGATTAGAGAGAGGCCTTGATTCTCGGATAGAGGCAAAAATCACATGGCAAAGTCTTCGTGGGCGGTGATTAATTGTCTGTCGGTGTGGAGAAAAAAAAGGAGAAGAAGAGAATCTCTTGTGGCTCATTGAGGCGTTTTATATTGCCTCGCGCGCAATCACAATGTCACAACTCTCTGGGGAGAAATGGATGGAATTTCGCGAATTGAGTAAAAGAAATTTATGAGCACAATCGATGGCGCGCGATGGGAATGCAAAGTGCAATTGAACAAATTACTCCGCACAAGCATTTGGTGTACAAATGCCTTGTTGTGCGTGGTATGAAAAAGCGTGTGATAGTGCAATCGCCCATAAAGTTCGTCCGTTTTAGCTGCTTTATAACATGATACTCCGCGCCATTCATGCCCGGCAACTGACGACCTACCGCATTCGAAACTACCATATTCTTTGGCCACAGGTAGGATAATTTATGGGTTCTCTCTTGCCATGTGCATAAAGGCAACACAATTATTATTGTCCATATGTATGAGTGTCTTATGCATTTATTACTTACGGCCAATATCGCCACGAAACAAATTCAATACTATTCAATTAAATGCCGTCAACAAATCTTCAGGCAACACACAATGCAACCTTTCCGCTTGCCTTCAAATCGCCCCATTGATAAACACATAAATTGTAGTGAAATATTGATGTATTTCCACCAATGAATTGGCTGAGAAAATTGAAGGATTGATTGAGAAGGAAGGAAAAGAACCTTCGAGAAAGAATGCTTTCTAGAGCAATTATTAATATTCATTCACCAAGGGCGAGATAATACGGCTAAACGGTGGATTTTAACAACCGCCTAACGCTGCATAACCTCAAATTTATGAGAATTTGTCTTAAAGAGACTCAATTTTTACTTTTATGACATTGAAAACTCACAAAGAAACAGTATTTTAGAAGTATTTGAAGTTTCCAGTGGATATTTTGGCATAATTTCATTTTAAATCGCTTTTTTGGATGCATTTTCGCACATAACCTAAAAATTACCTTGAAATATCGAAAAGAATCTCTGAAAGAAACTGATTTGGAATGTTTTCAAGACAACACTGTAGGAAATTTGCTTTTTAAGAGCAGAAAATCCATTAAACAGCTCTTGAAAGAGACAATTTTGTATTCTGAATAAATATTTTTGAGGTTATGATCAAGTTTAGCGTAATTAACACTATTATACCTTGAATATTTGTAATCTTCACGAAATTTCATTATTATTGTGTCAGAAAATTGCACATTTTACCAACTTAGAAGCCTGAATAACTGATTTTGAAGGTTATTTACTGGAAAAGTTTATCTTAATTTTATAACATAACCTAGAAAGATGTTAAGAACAATTCTTTTTCTCTAATTATTGCGTCAATTTCTGTTGAAAGGATCTTTTCAACACATCATATTGGACATATTCAAGCACTTCCGAATACTTTTATTGATCTGTACACCACTTCTGACCACAATATCTCCCCCTTGTCATTTACCAGGACTTTTTTCTCCTCGTGTTCTATTAATCTTTTTCCCACGTTGTGTGAATTGACTTTTCTGAGAAATCATACTTCCTAGTTTGAATTTCTAAGCTTCAGATAAATTGTCCGATATGAAAGCGAGAGAGATGCTGGCGAGATTAAGCGCAAGAGACACCTTCGGACTCTTTTCACAAAAATGATGGCATTAACTCAGAGTGACACTCCAGATAATTCCTCTATTTGCAGAGATTCTGCCCATGTGTTCATGTTCTTAGTTCAGTGTGTGAACAATGGAGGAAGTGGATTGGTCGTTTTTCACTGTTTAACATAATAAAATTTGCAAACATACAGATTGGTGGATGTTGCACATTAGAATAAGATCATCGCGGCGTGCGTGGGTGTAATCAGTCAGGGCAATTTTCCATGCTATTTTAATCAAGAATGGAGTGCAATGATTCATCTGTGGCGATGAAGAACTGGAACACAAAAGGGAACTACAAAACCATGAACACATGAGCATGAATATAGGAATCTCTATAGGCAACAATAAAAGGTGGAATTTTGTAACAAGTCAACGACGATGGAGTTTTGTTGCCTTATGTTGTAAGGGGGCGGAGGAACTCCCAACTTATCATTTTTACCTACGCAAAAATCACTGGAAGTTGATGTTATGTGAGTATGTTGTTGAATAAGTTTGTTGAGCATAAAATTGGGGTCATAAATGCGATCACACTCACTTGCAGCGCGATATTATCCAATATTAAATTTAACAAATAGGCATTTACTTATCTGGTGCGTGGTGGTTTAACATGATTTTGATTAATTGACGATAATTTCCAGATACAAACACCGGAGCAATCTCTTACCTGGTAAGTAAATTCCTGCCATTAGTAGTTTCTCCGGCAAGTCTTGTATTGATTTGGGCGGGCTGATCTCTTGAGGAGTGTTCACCACTGCAAAGAAGAGAGGTTTTCTTAGATCAATCTGACTCCTGTTCTTGCCTAACACGCTGAAAAATTCTAACGACTCTTTAATTGAATATAGTTTGTCATGATGAAGAGATGGAGAGACGCTTAATGGATCCACTTGGAGCCACCAAATGTTCCATCAATTAGTTTTCTTCAATATGTTTGTGTGTTTTTCTGGCCTTAGAACGACTACAAGTTGCGTGCCGCTCCGACTAATGCACTTAAGATATAGAATTGCAATTCAATTATCATAGAATTTCTGGAAATTGTCGTGACTTGGTGCCATAAAACAGATGTCTGAATGGCTAAAAATACAAAAGAACTTGAAGAACACATGTTGGCTTTTCAGGAAGTTTTCCTTTCTTCTTCCCAAATGCTTTGCATGGGAAAACAAACTGTCTAAAGCATTCCATGAGCTGTACACGGTCTTTTATTAAATTTTCACCATTATGGACATCAAAGTCATAATAAAATTATTATTGTTCGCAGCGGAATAAGGAGTTTAAGGGAAATGCAGTTCGTGTCTAATAACCTTCTCAGGGCAGCGCAATGAACTAAAGGGTGAAAAATTCCCAAGACGTTTTTTATCGCGTGAAGCTTGAAAATCTATTATTATCGTGTACACAGAAAGAAAAAAATAGTTGAAATAGTGACAAAGCTTGTTAAACACGATAGTAATTGCCTTTTTCACGAAAAGTTACAAAAAATATGTAAAATTAGGTAATTTTTCATAAAAATCTTAACATTTTTACGAAATATAACAAATTTTTACAAACTTTTACGACCTTTTATCACCCATCATTGACCACAGCTGCAAGTGCGAAAGAGACAAATAGATTTTCAGCATTTCTAGTATATTTGTCTCTGTTGCTTCGGTGGCAAGTCAGTTTGTCAAAAGATGGTGGAACAGAACGCATTCGTGTCGTGAAAAGTGCCGTAATTCAGCAAATAATGCAGTTTTTACCGCGGAAAAGTAGTGAAAATGTACTTTATGTGCGTCTTCAAGTGTTGAATTGTGCATTTTTGCACCAGACACTATTTGGTAAGTGTTTTCTTTCCTCGAATTGGTGAATTTATTCGCCTCATAATTGACTTATTTTCTCTCTTCAGGGAAAAATTCCTCAATTCACCGTCAGCGAGTTACAAGGATGCTGATAAGATTCGTGTATTGTCCAGGACAAATCTACAGTGCATCAGAAGTAGCTGAGGATGCAAAGAGGACAACATAACCTCGCAATATTACTCCACGGCAACACGACTGGAATCAGACCGCGAGCATCAGAGAACATCGCCCGGACTTGCCTCCAAATGGGATTCATTCCGGACAACGTTGGAAGAACGCTGCCTCCGAGAGCTTTTCGACGAGCAGAGTCGTCAACGCATCAGTGTGCTCATTTTCTAAGATGTGAGTTTTATAAAAAGGTTTTTGAAGATTGTCCAGAACATATTCAGGTAGAAATTTGCACTTTTTCAAACACTTTTTAGGTTAAAAAGTCTCTTGTTGTCAGAAAATTAGATTATGATTCGTGGTTTATAACATTGATTGTTTTTTGAATAAGTTTGTAGGCAAATAGATTTATAAATTTAAAGATAAAATGTATAACAATGTATTTTTTTTATTAATATAGTTGTAAAAAAAAAATCAAAAATCTTTTTCTCTAACCCAAAAATTACAAACCCAAGAAAATTTTACATAAAACTACGAAAATATGTAAACCCATTAGAAGGATCACAAAGGATTACAAACGGCAGGTAAAGATTACGAGCACATATTTTAACGAAAACTTACAAACTATTACGAGCCGGTTTGGTAAAATGTGTCAATTAGATGATTTTGTAAAAAAATTTTACAAAATCTGACAAATGTTTACCCGGAAGACATTTTCACTAGCATGCTCGTAATTTTTCCATACGATTTCAGAAATTTTTTACAAAATTTTACAAAATCCTACTAATTTTTTCTTTCTGTGTAATTAAAAAGGCCAGAAAACTTTCATTCTTGTGCAAAATTTCGTCATGATTTTTGATAAGGAAGCTTGTGGCCATGTTATGCCAATTACATCTATACGTCGATGGTTATTCCGATACTGATGGCTTCTCATGGGAAGCCAGAATGGCCAGTGGTCGGCTCTGTGGTTGTTTGGGAACTGTAGCAAGAGAGTCATCGTGTTTTACACGTTTTTTCTTCCTCTCCCCAAGAGATTTTCTCGGAGATTCTTGTCTCGAATGTGCAGGTATAACAAAAAGCATATAACCTGTTATGTCATTCACTATCTTTTCGATACGGTAATTTTATTCATGCGCCACCTCCAAGTGAGCAAACCATGCTCGCCGCGAGCCAAGGAAGTGACTTTTTTGCACGTTTCGCCTCTGTATGGACTCCCTATCTAGGCTCCCACGAAACATAGTCTCCAGTCAATCAACGTCGATTCTCGGTATTGTGTGGCCAATACTGCGAAGAATCTCAGGCACAAGGCGCAGCTTCTGAATGCCGAAGAAGTGGAATTAGTTTTGTCAGGCAGTTTTGCGGAAAGTGTGACGGAAAAGCATAATCGGTCGCACAGAGGGAAAAACTGTTAATCTTATTTACTCTTCTTTGTCACTTAAGTGCATATATAGAGTGATTAAGTAGCTCCTATTTGATGTCAATCCACTGTGAGCATTCAAAGAAGTGCGACAAATTAAATGTATTATAATTACACGGAATGTTATACAAAATAGCCATGTATATGAATAAGATTAGTGGTGGTTGGCAAGAATAACATACATTTGCCATGTCGAGCCGTGAAGACTCTGTAAAATGATGTTGGTCTACTCATTTATTAAATTGATTTATGCAGAGGCAGTCTAGGGTAATTTGAATATTAATTCGTGTCTCGTGTGTCCAATTTCACATTAAAATGATCTCTGCATTTAGACTGGTGCAGCGCGCGCGCGGATAAATTCTCTTTTCGGACTTCTACAAGCGCAACAAAACATGCCATTAATGCAGAGAGCCAGTGGGCATCGCGGAAAAATTTATGGTGTGCACTTGATGACTTCACAGGAGGAAAAGAGTGTCTCTCTGGTGCAATTGGTGCGTGAGTGGCAGTCATGCGGCTTGCGAGATCCCATCGTGAGCACGATGGACACCATTCGATGAATTGAATTTGCCGCCATTTGACATGCACCAAATAGCTGACTGGCTCCATATTTCAAAATATAACGTCAATTGCCACGAGATTTGACACAGTATTGGGAAATATTTCATAGAAAATATAAACCCGCTCTGCACACAGTCTATTTTGGAGGCATATTAATTTAGAGTGACAATGAGGTCAGATTTATTTAAGATACACACACACACGATCGACTGGAGAGACTTTTGGGGTCAATATATTCTTTTTTTTATGCACTGCGAAGAATTTTTGTGGGAAAATTGCCCAATAAATTGAAATTTGCCGCAAAAATTAAAGAAGACACCGTCAGAGAAAAGTATAACTCATCAAAGTTGTAAATTGGTTGGAATGAATGTGACCAACGTGTTGAGCCCGAATTTTTTCAACAGACTCTCTTGGGCGAATCATTGAGAAAACTAATTCCTGCATCGTCAAAATGCAGCACCAAAATACACCTTCACGTTGGGTGTCACATTTCCATTCAAGAGGGAGATAATACAGTCAGGAGTGGTGTACAGCTCAGCAGAAGTACTTAAGAAATGGAAGTGTTGAAAAACATACAATCTTCCTTTCCTTGCAGCTTCTTTTACTGACAAATTCTCTCGTTTCTTTAGGTTTTCTTCGATTTTCACGCAAAAACAAGCATAATATATGTTTTTATAGGTTATGTAACGACTTAAGGACATCAATTCTTATCCTCAAGTCGAAGAAATCACCAATTATTGGCAGAATTTTGTGATTTCATGCTAAAAACGGTGCAATTTCGAACCTTCGTTGTCTACAAACACTGCAAATCGTGTTTAAGTCAAACATAACCTCAAAAAAAAGTCATTTGAACTTGGAAAATGACAATTTTGACTCTAAATCAGCAGTTTTGAGTTCATTTTTTAAATCATTACAGCTGATTTTGTGATCTGGAAAGCTTTCAAGCGGAGTTTTTAAAGCTTTCGTCGCTTTCTTAGTGATATTTTTGAGGTTATGGTCGGAAAAGATACCCAAAAACTCTACAGATTTCATGTTTGGAAGTGATGTACAGATTTGAGGCATATTATCTTCCCCGTGGTTCGATCGAGTGACCTCTAAGGGCGTTGCGTGACCGGATACTTTAAGGTCTCCACACACTACTGTGCTTGGGAGTGTTTTAATGAAGAAGTGTGTCTCTTGGCGGCCGGAGCGCGAGCAAAAAATCTGGGTGCGCAGTGTATTTAAGGTGATATTACATACCTGTCGTGGTGTTTGTTTTCCTCGTCTCATCGCCACTTTCTTCGTCACTGTCAATATGGGGAAACGATCCACCCAGACAGAAGAGTGGCATGGACGCCGTCTCAGCATCGCCCGCGGACGCTGCGGAGTCCACTGTGCCGGATTCACTCTTGATGGCTCGCAGGAGTGTGTACTTGTTGCTAATCATGGTGTTGCGCGTTATCAGCTCACGGCGCTTCAGTGTGCTGTCGGGGAAGCGGCGCGGTGCGCCCGCGCTCCCATTCACCTCCTCGCACGCCGCCTCGTCCGCGGACGCGGGGAAAGTCAGATCGTCCAGCGGCAGCCGACAGATGACCCGCTCGACACCCACCAACAGACTCTGTAGCAACTGCGGCAGATCGTCCGCCAGCATCTCCACTGCCAGCGGACTGAGGGAGTCGCGCCGTGCGTTCACGCCGCGGTACGTGATGCCCGCCTTGGCTGAGTGCCACACCACCTGCAGCTGTGGCGTGCCGGTGTCCTCACTGGGCCGCACGCATAGGTAGATGTCCTGCGGACGGACGAGGGACTCCTCGAGGGCGCCCAAGTGCAGCACCAGCGCCCCAGAAACGCATAGAGGCCAGCCCGAGCGCCAGGACAGCGTCTGCAAGACGGAGAGAAAGATGCACAAATTACTCATCGCCATCACGTACGCATGGTGGAATGCGGAAATGCAATGCGAGTGGTGGAAAATGCCACTGCCGAGAGTGTCGCACGCAATGCAAATGACTCGCAGGTATAAATTGACCCTCGCCACCTATTTTTCAAAGATGTCACCATTCGGAGGATGGATGATAAGAGCATAATTGCCTATTCGCACAATTAATTAATTTACGTGTGCCGACACGCATTCAGTGGACATGCGGGATATCATCGCGACGTGAGCTCTTTAATAATTTCCTGCGAAGAATTATTGGCGAAAGCACCTTTAGTCAAGAATATTATGACACGATATTTGCTGCACATGAGATTTATCGACACACTGACCAGTGGACTTGATGCTTTTCTACGCCGTGTGAATTTTCTACTCGCCAGGACGAAAGCCTAATTTGACTCTTATGTTTCGACTCTCGCCCAAAGCGCTCTCGTCGCGTAATTTATCGCCATTTGATGGCAGATCAGCACACAAACGTGCGTCTTGGTCGCATGCCGCGAACATTGGCTGAACGCAGAGGCACAAAATTCGCACTCAGTTGTTGTTGAAAATGTCTGAGGTTATTAGAATACCTGCATGACTCCCTCTCAATTTCTCTCCACCCCTGAAGAAGCCGATCGCAGGCGCGGAAAGTGATATGCATAAATAAGGCAGTTAATAAACAGTAAATCGTTTAATGTCCGGCGCAAATATGAAAGCGCCAAAATAGACGATATGGAATATAGTTGCAGGTTCACGTTCCGTGTGCTTCTCCTTTTGGCGAACACATGTTTGCAGAGTGGAGAAACAGGTAGAAAAGAGAGACATATAATTTATTTGCATCACAGAAGAACTACTAAATCATGGCACGATGACGAAAAAAACCCACTAAAAATGATTAATTATCTTATTGAAATTGTTGCATTATGCGCGATCTCGTTAAATTTATTTATCGCACACGGAAGTGATGTTTGTTCACCCAACGGCAGAGGGTTTTGCCTGGTGAAGACAATTTGAGGATTTATATCGTCTCCCATTGAACGGCATGTGCAGCACAGAGACCACAATAGATCGTCGCCTCTTGATCGCCATCGCTGAAAAACGTGCATTACACTAAATTCAATGATTATTATTTTGTAATAAAGCTAATCGGATTATGAAAATGGCCAATTATTGACGCTCAACGTGTGAACTGCACACTTCGCACAGCCATTTCTACTATTTAACAAGAGACTTATGATATTTACTCATGCCACTCTCTTGGCTCACCACCAGATTTATCATTGATTCCCGCCAATATGTCGGCGCGGAGGGAATTGTGCATTTATTGAGAATGGCATTCATTGAATTCCCCCTCCCTTCGCACTTCATTTTTCAGGGAAAATTGTGATCCGAAGCGGTCAAGCAGACAGAGTTTCTTCGTCTTATTTCACGTCAATTTGGCGGCATTTCCCAAAATGAAGGTGTTTTACTGGTAATTTGGGATTAATCCAATACTTGACCAAGTCCGCAAATATATGTTCAATTATTTTGAAATTATTCCTTCATTTAAATTTCACATGGTAATTATACCTTTCCCTTTCGTGCACGTCTTGCAATCAAACCCTTATTCACCTGTTTCCAATGCGAAGGTTTCTTTTCTTCTTCACCAGTAAACTTCCCTAAGCAAGTTTCCCAAGGGGACAATCACTCACGGTTTGAGACCATTAACTTTGTGATTATTCAATCTTTTTTCGATTATTTGTGATTATTACTCAAATTTTGATTTTTTCGTTCAAAATTCTCATTATTTTTTGATTATTTTCTGAATATTTGATTAAAATTTTTTATTTCATTCAAATTCTGATTATTTTTTGATTATTTTCTGAATATTTGACTAAAAATTATTTCAAGCAAATTCTGGTTTTTTTTTCATTATAATTGAAAAATAATTAAAATACGAATAAAAATCATAAATAATTATTTTCGGTATGTATTCAAATTTTGATTATTTCGTACAAAATTCGGATTATTTTTTGATTTTTTTTCTAAATATTTGATTAAAAACTTTTTTGTTGTACAAATTCTGATTATTTTCTGAATATTTTATTAAAAATTATATCAAAACAATTCTGATTTTTTTTTATTATATTCAAATAATAATCAAAATTTGAATATGAATCCGAAAAAAAAAAATTTAAATTATTTTTCAAATTTTGATTATTTCATACAAAATTCGGATTATTTTTTTGATTATTTCCTGAATATTTAATCAAATTTTGAATATAATTGAATAATTGTAAATATTCGGAAAGAATAATTTTTTTTTCAAATATTTTTGAATTTTATCTGAGAAATTATTCATTTCTTGACTATTTTATTCAGAATTTGGTTACTTTGTTTTTTTTGTGATATTATCCGGAAAATAATCTTTTTTTGATTATTTATTCAAAATTAGATTTTTTTTTCATGTTTTACTAAGTAAAATAATCATTTTTTAAATTATTTTATTCAAAATTTGATTGTTTTTCAATTTTACTTGGGGAAATAATCATTTTTTGATTATTTTTCTCAAATAATTGATTATTCGATTAGAGAACATTAAGTTTCCTCAAAAGTCGCCTTGTGATTTGCCCCTTGAAGTTTCCTCAGTCAATTCGCCTGGGAACTCAGCCACGACTCTCATCTCTCCCCCATTTAATCGGTGAATTTCCTCTGCCATCTGGTCACAATTAGAGCCCAACTCAGCCGCACACATTGTTGATCTTCACTTCTTCCGAGTGGCATCGATAGAATGGAAGTCTCATGAGAGGAGGAAATGTGGCACAAAAGGACTTCTGCCATCGTGTGAATTGCAACAAAACCATATATCGAGATGGTTCAACCCCAAAAATTAGTCGCGCAGCACACAAAGTTTTCCCAACAATGGTGAGTTAAAATTATTGCAATCAATTGTGTCCCCTTTGGATGGAAAAGTACCACAAACACGCAGTCTGGGTCGAGGATTGAGTGGAGAAAAGAGGCGAAAGAGTGCGCTATAATTGATGAGTGCGCGCTTGGGTGGAAAAATAAAAAACGCTGAAAACATTGCAATGTTATTAACAGCGTTTTATTTGTACAATTATCGCCCAATGCCAATGACGGAAATCAATTATACGCTCGATGGCTCACCAGTTGTCCGGAGAGAGAGAAATGCGCAGACGAGAATTTAAGGCGACATCGGGCGAGAGAATTCACCAAAAATTGCTGAATAAATAATGCACATTAATAATTTAGCAATTCACTTTTAATTAATTGCCACTAAGATTGACATGTGAAATTTGCAATTTGAGCCAGAAAAATTACAGAAATTCCTCCTCAACGAAAGTTGGTGTTTTGCGTCTGCAATTAATTAAATAAATTGGGTCATATTCTTCAAAAAAGGCCTCACAGAGGCCCCGATGACGCTGCCAAGACGTTCTGAGGCGAAGAAGTGAGCCTTGAATCTTCAAGATTAGCCGCTTATAAAAACCTCTGGCACATTTTTTCACCATCCTGTAATTTTCTGGTCCTTCGACCCGGATGTGGCAATTATTTCACTTAATTTTAGCAATCTGCGCAAACAGTGTGTCGTTGATGTTTGTTTACTTCAGAGTCAGATTTCAGACCATTTACTTTCTGATTATTCAATCTTTTCGATTATGTCAAAGAATATTTAAATAATTACTTATTTTCTCAACATATTGGCCACCAGAAGACAGCAATTAAAATTTTAATGGTATTTTGGAGTTCTGATTGTATTTTAATGTAATTTTGTGACTCTTTTTGCTATTTACTTTTTAAATTTGTGTTTAACTATTTTAAATCTGCAATTCTGTATTTTAAATCTGAATCTGTAATTTTAACACGACTTTCAGAGGTTAATTTAGTCAATGTGAAAATCTGTAAATATCAAATGAGTGACAGACTGTAATCTGCAAATATCTTGCTAAAATGAATAAATCTGCCATTGTGGCTCTAATTTTCAAGCATGAACATGAATTATGTTTACAGTAAATTCTTTTTATCATGGATTTGCTAGTTCTGAGCTTGAATAATTGTAATTTTTACTAATTTCACCATTTTCCCTATCTTACAATGTAAAAATACTGTTTCAGCGCGAAAACCAGAGACTTTTTCTCTTTATTCGTTTTGAATGTTAAACTTTAACACATGTTTGAGGTTTAACATATTTGTGTGTGACTCAGAATTGGTCCAAGAATTAAATTTATTTTGATATTTTGTCAAAAATACTCAATTTTTTATAATGGTAAAGTAAAAATCAATATTTAAATATTGGATTGAGACCACTGAGATTCCTCTTAAATCGACTACTGCCTTTTCCCTTCTTTAGAACTGTTTATTTGTGTTATTTTAAAATCCCAATCAGCGATTACGGCGGAACAGAAGTGGATGAATTAAAGGAGAAAACAAATATTCACCAGAAATTGTGCTCTCATAATCCCAGATTTGTATTTCTAGGCACGATCTTCGGCTCTCTGGACAGCAAGCAAATTAGGGAGAGAGAGTGGAGACACAGAGAAAGTGGTCTTCTAGTGAATTCTACACATCACCTTCCGCAGGGCGACACATTGAGGAGTGAGATAATTCTGCTGGTATATATGGGATGCATGATGCACGGCCATTTCGTACGGCGGGACATTAATTTTAATTGAATGGTGGGTAATTTGAAAAGGTTAATTAACAGAAAAGTGCATGTCATCGGCAGCGGATTTCTGGATTCATTTGTCAGTCACCCGGACAGTCGAATAAAAGTGAAAACACTCAATTCTGCAGCATCTGCGCACCTCCCATTCGTGCATGTGATATTTCGCTTGCGCGTTCGCGCCTCGGCGAGGTGCAGAAAGGCCATAAACATCTAATCGTTTATAGATTCAGCTTTGGTGTAATCACAGCAGCGGCGGTGTCGGTAGTATATCATTATTGTCATAAATGGCAAATGTAATTTGCATTGAACGTGAGTGGTCAGAGTTCGAACTGATTATGTGCATTCACTCATGGCGTCACATATCTTTTTTCATGTGGAAATATCACACTGTCGAGTGTGGTCGGCTGCCAGACAATGCGCAATGTAAAGTATCCGACTGACTTAATTGACCATATTACATGCATGCATGGCAGAGGGAATGAAATTGGGGAAAATTTTGAATGGTAAATAGTTGTCTGGGTATAAATCGACATTTCCGGCAAAGAATTAATCTTCCATACGCTTCCACACCGGGAATATATACAGAATTTCTGTTATTTATTGAATGTCATTTAAGGGCTTGGCGTATATATTTTTTCCGTGGGTTCTCTCGACATTTCACAAAAGAGAGGAATAAATAATAAAATAAAAGCTGAAAAAATACCGCCGAACGTGCATTGAAAATTACTTCAAGCGACATTAAAAACGCTAATGGACAATGAAATATAGAAGCATAATCCAATTAAGCACTGTAATTTGATTCCTTTCTATAAATTTTCAGGTATCACTGACGCTACAAACAGTAAATACTTTTATTTTGATAGCTAAAGTGGAATTATACATTGAATTGTAATCTGAATGTTCTGCAAAAAAGCCTCTCTTATTTTGACTTTGAGTTTCTTAATTGCATTCACCGAAGTTTTAGCATTATGTAAAGCAACAATTGTCTTGAATTTTAGCATGATAATTCTGTATTTTCAATTGTGTATTTTAGCTTTTGATTTCCTCAAAATGCCTTTCCTGCACGATGATCAGAGTCAACATCAAAGCATTGTTGTTAAACCTCAACCGACTGTTGTCAAAAATACCAAGATTCTTCTTGATGATTACGGAAATGATGAGCCAGATTATTCAATTAGCGATTCTTCATAAGAATTGCTGTATTTACTTCTTTGATTAATAAATCAATCAAATTTCTCCAGTTTTATTGCAAACTCTATCGTAATCATATTTCACAGAGCATAAAATGAATTAATTCGATTGAGAAAAGCCACTAAATTGCATTGCAGAGTTTCAGTGTAAGTTTTGAGTTTCAGAACGCCACAATAATTCAGTAATTGACAATATTTTGAGTCTGAAAAGAATGTTTCAGAGTATAAAAACAATTCACTTCGTTGTGTTATTAAGTTTCTTCGCGCAATTCTTACTTTTCACCTATGCAGAATATTCTTATTGGGATCCTAGACGATATTTATCCACTTCATTCCTTGATTCAGTAAATTCGGCTCACAAGAATGGTATGAATTAATCTAATTGTGGAAATGTGTGCCTAATTAAGAGGAAATCTACTTTAAGATTCCGATGCAGAACCACAATCAACTCAAGAGGAGTCAAGACATCAAAAGTCGTCTCAAAACCAGAAGCAGTTGCAATCACAAAGCATTGAGCTTCAACTTGGACCTTCAGTGATAAAGAATACAACAATTGAAATAACATAAGTGGTGAATTGTAGAAAATACGATAGACTTTTTCGGTGTTTTACTTCTAAGACCTTTCTTTCAAACCTTTCGCTTATTTTGAAAAAATACAAAACTTTTGCGGTGAAACACTTCTTTTTCACCGCGGAAAAAAAGCGCATAAATAAATAAAGAAATGTGTGCAAAGAGAGTTCGCACTTGAATGAAAAGATCACACTTGGCAACTTGTCAATGAGAAAGCCACCATGATGATCAAAAGATCCGCGAATATCCATCGCGAAGCGCATCCACTTGATCTTAAGGTGAACGAGATGTTGAGTACAGCGTCAATTTCGGACAATGAAAATTACACTGGCCAAAGAGTGTTTTTTTTTTCTTTCACCTCTTGTGTGTGTGTACATTGATTAAAAACTTTTCACTGTGCGCATGATGACCATGTTTTCCTTTTCTGACGCGTCTTTTTGCCCGCTGAAATCGCCGCTTGACCTGAACTTCTCTACATCGTGTCGAAGAAATTTTTGCATGATGTCTGTCTTGATAAAAGTATACACATGTTGGGAAAGGAGTTGAGGCGTGCTGTTGACAGGAAAAATCACAATCAAATTGCTAAATTGTTGTGTTGTTGGTTTTTTTCACCTCCACTTGAGATTTTAATCAAGAGAGCGCGATCTCACACAAGATTGATTATATTTGCGAATGCTCGAGCGGGGAGGGACCATTTCTTTCTCAGGTCCATTTATGCCTCTTCCCTCTCTCTCTCTCTCTCTGGCGATAAAATAATTGCCAAGAGTACATGTTGTATGACATTTTGGACAGCATGAAGTGTTGCGTAACATTTGCTGTGTAACTATTAAACACTATACGTGATCGAATTGAAAAGGAAAATCAGCGAAAATACACACGATCGCTGGTCGATAGTGCACTCCGCCAGTGAGGATCACTAACGATCACCCAGCCAACATGTAATATCCAATGATTTTCTCTCTCTCTGCTGATTTCCAGAGAGCCAATTATGGATATAGAGACCAACATTGACAATGAATTCTTGCAAGTGCGACGAGAGCGGAGAGATATCAGCTTTATGCGATGATCAGTGTTGTTAAAATACATTACACACTGTTGACACACACGCCAATGTGTTTAGATCTTATAAAGAGAGAAGATTCTAGAAACTTTTCTTTTCGTTACTGATTGAGATTACTGCATAAGAAGCTCAAAGTGATTAAAATCAGACTTTATGTTGGGAAAAATTGAGAAAAACCCAAATCTTCATAAACTTTATGAAGTCACGTAATGTAATTAAATAAATATGACGAACAAGAATTGAAATCAAGGGGTAAACATGTACCATTCTGAGTGAAATCGGGTTGCGAAGATTGCGGATTACGCTCAAAAATTGCGCCCAGAGATTGCGCCTAAAGATTGAAGATTGCGCTCAAAGATTAGATTTTTTTTATTGATAAATGTCTGTGTTCTTAGATTGCGTCAAAATATTTCGTATTGCGCCCAAAGAATGCAATTTGCGCCCAAAGAATACAAATTGCGCCCAAAGAATTTAAATTGCGTCCAAAAATCACATTTTGCGCGCAAAAGATTGACGATTGTGCCCAAAGATCCCAGATTGTGCCCAAAAAACGCAGATTGCGCCCAATAATCACATTTTGCGCCCAAAGAATACTAATTGCGACCAAAAATCACCTTTTGCGCCCATAGATTCCAGATTGCGCCCAAAAAACGCAGATTGCGCCCAATAATCACATTTTGCGCCCAAAGAATACAAATTGCGTCCAAAAATCACATTTTGCGCCCAAAAGATTGACGATTCAGCCCAAAAGGTTTAGAATTGCGCCCAAAAAACGCAGATTGCGCTCAAAAATTACATTTTTCACTCAAAAAAGACAAAATTTTGTTCAAAAATTACATTCAGCGCCCAAAAATTACAGTTTGCACCCAAAAGATTTCAGATTGCGCCCAAAAGATAGTGTTTTTACTCCAGGGATTATGGTTATCGCTTGCGACTGCGAAGATTGCGATCTCAGTGAACTGTAATTGCGCCACATATTTAACCCCTTGATTTGTGTATACAGAAAGAAATGCAGGTAATTTAACAAGACTGTGGGAACGTGCGCTGTTGTCGGGGTTGATTTGCTGAGGCTGAAATTCCACCAATCGAGGAAATGGTAATTTAATAATAATAATAATTGAATATATATATGACTTCACAAGAATCATACAGAGCAATTAATTGTAATTTATCTATCTAAGTAAATGATAGCTGCTGGGCGAACGTCTGAACTGTCTGAGACTCGAAAAACTGGCACAATATTAGACTCCTTCACTCGTCAGCTTTCATGTAATTGCGAACTTTCGGAAAATTTTCCTCCAGTATTGACGGACAATGTACGCAAATGTGACTCCATTGACGGGATTTCATGCGTTTTGCATGGCAAGAGTTGTGGGCTGTCGAAGCGTCCCAGGCGTCATCATATGATAATTATGGTGAGGGCAAAAATGAGCACTTTTCCCATTCGCTAAATTCAACTGTAATTATTAAAGTTTATAATTAAAATACCACTTCATGTACTGGCGTTACGCTGACCGTGGTGTAGATGTGTTTTGCGTATAAATTATGTTGCCCGGCGATGCTTTTTTCTCCTGCATATAAATAATACTGGATGGAATTATTCGTTTAATTAACCATTTATTACCGGCGCAAAGGCTGAAATCTCCTCATCGCCAGTGAAATGGGGTTTAGATATCTACACACACACACACTTTCCTGTGAAAATGATGGATGTTGGCGAGGGGGATGGACAATGTAAGATGTTTTTCATCTCTCAACTTCCTATCCAGTGGCATTTGATGTGGAAATAAATCACTTGAGAAGTGCTTCGCCGAGCCATGCTCAATATCTGCATCATCAAATATCTATCATAATATCCTTTCACTCACTTTTTTCACCAACCTTTTCGCACACAATCTTTCACGTGCTGAGCATGGAGTTGATCTTTTGTGGGACAATTTGTGCTAAAAGGATGTCATCACGGATTGTGCATTTCGACATGACAAACGCAGTCTTGTATTTGCAACATTTTAATTGGAAAGTAAATTCCCAAAGTGAACAAATAAGGCCTGGAATGAATTATTGATATTTTTCATTCAAGATCAAGCGGTAACATTCCCAGATAAGCGCAACGCAGAAATGCGAATGGCAGATTTTCCATCAAATATTGATTATTTTAGTGTCAAACGGAAGTGAAAGTGGCCTTTTTTCTGCTCTGCTCCCACAGCAAATAAGCGCAATTGCATAATAAAAGTGTATTGAAAAAGAAGAAAAAAAATTACAGATACGTCTGGTGAGATAGAAGAGTTCAATTGCCTGAACTTTACGTGATATTGACATTGCAAACTGCCGAGGTAGACGCGGTAATTGGAGAATCGCGAAGGAACTGCGCTCTGTCTCGAGACGTCCGCGCAGAGTCGGGGAATTGAGCGTGGCGGAAAGTGAAGGTGTTCATTTGTGTGTGGGGAGAGAGAAAAATTAATGAAATCACTTGAGAGTGTTGATAATGATAGTTTAATTTGGCATCAATTTGCTCCACAGTGTGTGATTCTACGATGTTGTGATCTTAGGCCATGAAAGGGAAGGAGATCGAGCGCGATCTTCTCTCTCTTCATGTCAATAAATTCAACTGATCATTGCCGACTAATCGCCATTCGATCGATTTGCCTTCGCCGATAGTGGGTATAATTTAATGGGTCGAATGAAAAGACAATAATCATCCACGGAGAGCCTTTTTGCCCCGCGCGCGCGCAAGTCTTGATCAAGTGATCAAGTGGAAGAGTTCGAATCAACAATATCGCAAATGCACCTAATCATTTAAATATTTACGACTTGATTGTTTAGCGATGCTCGCGGCACCATTGTCTGACACGATTCCATTCTATGGCCTGTGCAATATAAATGCGCACACAAATTAATTTTCACAGTTCATTCCACCCCAATTGAGTGTGATTGAGGAAGTTGTCGATGGGCTTTTCATCTTCTTATTTCCTCATATCTGCCCTCTCTCTCTCTCTCTCTCTCTCTCTCTGTGGTGTGCTAAAATTGGGCTCACAAGGAGTACGCGGATATTTTATTGCCTCTCGGGTGAGAATTTATCTCTAATGTGAAAATTGCCCACTGACTCTCTTCCGGATAAATTATTAATTTTCATACTGCAAGTGCATTCCGCGGGTCAGTCGCTTTAGCTACAATGTAGTAATGGAGAAACAATGGGTCACAGATGACAAGGTTCCACTTCTACACCTTTTGTCGTTCGCCTAGGAGATCTTGTAACTTACACCCAGACAAAAATTATCCTCTTCATTTCGTGAAATAATTCGTAATTGTTCGAAACTGTATAGTAAAAGCGCATAGAAAACGCTAAAATTTTCATAGACTTTGAATAAGAACAATATTTGACAAATCTTTTAAATATTTATTTAAAAACTTTGAAAAAAATTACATGTAAAGTATGAAGAATTAATCATTTTAGAATTTTTTTTGTATAAATGATTGACTTTGGGAAATAATATTTTCACTTTCGTTTTAATTTTTCCATATTTTAATCAAGAATTTCAAGAAATACCAATAAAATCATCTCGAACATTCAAAATATAATTATTACACAGCAATTTTAGCACACTAATTAACGATTTGAATGTGTTTTGAGGTAAATTTGGCAAAATTCGCATCGACATTAATGCAAAGATTTTCAATAAACTCTTTTAAAAAATTGCAATTCAAATGGTTAAGCTTACGCACAAAGAATATCTATTGATTTGGATTGTGTGCAGAAGGAAATTGGAATCCTGGTTCTTCGAGCCGGATGCTCCTTAACCTAAATTTCCCATGCAAACTATAGAATGAATAAACATTTCAGGCACATCCTAAATGAAATTATAATGCTCATTTTCACTGGCATTAAGAAATTGAGCTATTATCAGCGATTTATCAATTTTCCATCTTACTCGGTTAACGGCTGGCCATAACACATTTTGATTTAAGTGTGGCTCATGACTCTGGGGGAGATTTCTCTGGGTGTACGCCGTGTTGGTAAAAGTTTATCTCAATCTGACTGGATGGTAGCTATTTTGTGTGAAAATCCACCATATAGAAAAGCCAAACGACACTCAATATCATGGAATTTGAGACTTTTTCTCCACAGACGCGCACACAAGAGGCAATTTTGTGATGATTCGATGAAATTTCCTACCAAGTCACTCTCTATGTATTCTGCCAATGCTATATATGCTTTACAAGTGGCTTACATAGTGAAAGTTATAATGAGGCGGTTTGGTCATTTTTTTTTCACCACATGTGTGATACATTGTAAATAAAATCTTGGTCCGAAAAACCATTGAAAACACCATGTTGCCCCTTATCGATTTATCAATGATCAGAGAGAAATACAATTTATAGTTATGTTACTCTGTAATGTACAAGACAATTTTCCCCGCATATCCGTACCCATTTTATTACTTAATTGGAATCCCATTAGCCACTCTCCACTTGGATATATTTCCGAACTTTTATAATTAAATCATTGTCGGGAGGTTCTGTCTTTTTTTTTCTTCTTCTTGCCGAGAGAAGAAAGGGCAGAAGATATGATCTCGCGTGGCGATGTTTTGGGACTCTCATCGTGTGCGTGCAATTTCACAGCGATGGCTCAGCATCGATCACTGGGTTGGATGACACTGGAGACATGGTGAAGCATGTTTGGTGACATAGTAATCTACTTAAGAGACATTTAAGAGATGTGTATGAAAATTAATACAAGTCTGTATGAGCAGTGATCGTGGTTTGAAGATTATACATATAATTCGTGTCGCGCTGAATGTCTCTATTCTGCACTGATCACCGTTTTAACTGGCGGCAATTTCCTTTAAAGACTTCACACTGTGCGATCGCGATCAGTTAATAGTGTAAATTCATATACACAACATTGAATATTAAAGTGAAATTGCTTCACGCTGTTTTGGCATCCATGAATCAAATCATCATCGTCTCTTTACTTTATTATGACCATTAATCGCCACTGCTGCGATGATCGATTTAGTCATTCATAATAGCAAGGCAAACAAGAGCTTGAAGATCGCGCGGACATTTTTGCGAGCAGGTGCTTCGGCGCGAGATGGGAAAAAAGACAACCCAGCACGAGAAGACAAGGTTGTGAACATGGAAATGACCAGTTGCAGGCTATTTTGACATGTCTATTTTGCACACATAAACACAGATATGTCGTCTGGAACACCTCAGATGACAACCCAAGCATCTGCCAACTGATCATTTTCTCACCGGAACTTGCCCATTTGGCACGTTTTCATCTCAGTAGGTGATCGCGTGTGTGATTTTTAATGTCAAACAACGTAAATCCAAATTAGCGCAACGGATTTGATTGATTGCAGAAAAATGTGAATACTTTGCGTATACATGAGAAATTTCATTTTTCACCTACACATTTCTCTTTCCATGCCCATCTTAAGCCATTGTGGCGGGAGTTTTTGCTCCGCATTATCGCTGTGCCGATTTGCTGCACATTGTTGTAGTTTTTTTTTTCTTTTCAAGTGCCATTTGTCGGAACAAATCTTTGAGTCTTTGAAATTAACAATTGTAATTCTTGAGAGTGTCTTTTTTTCTAATGTACAGTTTGTTTTATTGAGATGTTTACTGAAGAGTGAAGATGTGACATTTTTCCCAAGGGAGAGATATTGTTATTAAAGAATTGTTCTTTGCATATTTTTAGGTTATGTTGTGAATTTAAGACAAACTTTTCCACTAAATAACATTCAAAATCGTTCATTTTTGCGCCTCAATTGGTATAATTTGCATTTACTGGCAGAAAAATAATGAAATCTAATGAGAATTACAAGCTTTCAATGTTAAAGATTGATCATAACCTCAAAAATACTGTTTTTGGTTACAAAATTGTCTATTTTAAGAGTTGTTTAATTGATTTTGAACTCTGAAATAAAACATTTCAGCTCATTGTCGATTATTCTTGCCTTTAAAACATTCTTAATAATTTTCTTTCAAGGATTCTTGTAAATATCTGAATGTAATTTTTAGGTTATGTTTTAAAGTGCATCCATGAAAGCGATTTTAAATTAAATCACATCAAAATAACTGATGAAAACTTCAAAAACTTCTGAAATACTGTTTCTCTGTAAGTTTTCAGGGTAAAAAAGTAATAAATATACGTATTTTTTGGGGTAAAAACTTCTAAATTTGAGGTTATAGTTTAGAAAAAGGTGAAGAAAATAAGGAAAATGCATGTTTTAAGCACTTTTGAGGTTCTGGAAGTCTCTGTGATTATCATCCTCTTGATTTTTCCTTTCCATACTCTGAAATGTGTTTGATCTTCTGCAGATTTTGGAATAACGTGCAGAGACAAAATAGAAATCCATTGACACTGATTAACCCCTTTGGGAAGCGTGTGAAAAGGTGACGAAAGTTGCAAGCAAAATTTATTGCTGTTGCACATTGTATTCAAATGATT